CAACGCATGAGAGCAAGAAACATTTAAAGGAGAAAGACAGAGTTATTGAGGGGAGCTGTACTGCTGAACAGTCTGCACACACACATATCGTCTTTGTTAGTTGTGAGGACATTGTGTTGACTTCAAGTCACTTTAACCATAACAACCAAGACATAATTAAGTCGTGACCTGCTCTCCACAATGTGTGAACAAGTTTGTTTGTCTTCTCACAAAAGAATACTGGGGTTCCCTTTTATAAACAAGGTTCAAGGTACATTTATTTGTTGTTCTATAACACAAGGCTGCACAATGAAAGAAATGAAGGTTATAGCCCTCCGACAGTACAGCCAGTATGTTTTCTGACCAACTTTTATAAATACATTCATGTCAGACACAAAATACCCTCTCCTGCATAACACAGGAGCAGCACATTTAGCTGGCCTATATCAGTATGCGTAGCCTCACCGTAACATCCCATTTAACATCTGTTAAGATAACTTCAGCCATTAACCAGCACAGCCAAGACTTTCTTCACCCTGTGCTCCAAATCTGACTTCCTCTTCCTCTCTGACATGCCACAGACCCCCCACAGTCAGCTGACAAACTAAGCCATTTCAAGAAGCCATTTAGTAGCGACTAAACACAACATTTTTATACACTATCAAATACAATTATCTGGCAGCCCACTGTCTAGTCTATTAAGCACTCACTAGAGGAGGGAGGCTGTGTTAGCGCCCAGCTGTAAATGTGTTAAGAGCTTCGCTAGCATGTGGTACCAGAGGCTTTATGGACATTTTGGCATCAGGGATATGGAGGGATTTATTATCTCTGCTTGAGGAGAAGCAGATGGGGAGTTCAAAGGGGTAACAGTCACTTGATAATAGGCAAAAATCATGTATTTTAAATGTTTTCCTGGGATCTCGGACAGTTAATGTTTATGATCACAATAGGTCAGAAAAAATAGGTCAACCACGGCTTGAAACCTCAAAATCTCCTACTAAGCAACATGGAGTCTAGGTTTTTATTTTAGCCAAACACTACACCTGTTCTGTCCCAAAAGGTGGGCGGGTCTCAGTTTGAAAAGTTGATGTTACCTACAGTGCTACTTTCATGCAGTAATCATGATTTAGCAACATTTGAATCCATTTTTGAGTGGCAATCTCTTGGATGTTTTTTTCTGATCTTCAACTTTAAATTTTGCTTATTTAGTTAGAAATAGTTTTAAAACTATGTTTATCAAAGCTGTATCTTTATTCAGTCCTCATCAGTGTAGTAAAAGGTCAAATGACTGAGAACAGGACAAGGAATCTTAAAATGAGTGATTCGTTGTGATTATACATGTCCATGCAAAATTGCATGCAAATGTGTGCAGTACATGACAGACAACTTTATGTTGTCTTCTGTTGTAAGGGGTTTTAAAGTCTTCTTTGTGTATGACATCCCTAAAGGTAGAATACTGTGACCAAACAAGTTCACAGTCACAGTAAGTTCAGAATTTAACGAGATGAATAATTGTTATAAAGTTATGAAATCTGCAGATTCTAGTGTTTGAGATTAATATGATACAAAAAGTCTAAGATCTCAGGAAAATTACAGATTTGTTTATAAAGGATTTTTGCCATAATAGTCAGTTTATCCTTATTTCATTCCTTCTTACCTCGGACCCCTCCGAGTCTGAGCAGCCAGACTGGTGTTAAAATGGAAAAAAACAATAAGAACAGAAAATGAGACAAAAAGAATTAGAAAAAAAGAATAAAGGGCATTTAATGAAATTATATCAAATGAAAACTCAGCGGGGATGACCTACAACGCACTCTCTCACCTTGGAATCCTGTGACTGTCAGCCGTAAGGACAGCCCCAAACAAAAGAAAGTTATTTTAAAATAAAAAGGCAAGGTGAATTAACAATAATGAAAGTGATTTTTGTTTTTTGCTGGCAGCTCTTGCTGATGCAGCCTACCCACCATGTCATCCTCCCCTTCATTGTCATTGATTGCCTGGTGGAGATGGTACAGATATAAAAACAAGCAAATTATATAAAATGTAGGACTAAGAAAATGTGATTATGTAAACAAAAGAAAAATGCATAAGAGACTTATAAGAAATTGTTGCTCTGCTGAGGTTTTGTAGGGACACGGCTAGTATACTATAGGTTTAAGCGTCATTCTCAGATTATGCTGTTGTCCACTAAAACAATTTGCTAAACGAGACACTAATTTATGAAAATGATAATACTGCTAGCCACATGCTCAAACTAACTTCCAATGACCGCCGCTACATCACAAAGAACAAAATTATTTTTATTATCTGAGCTGAAAGTACTAGAGCTTTAGCTAGGCTCTCTTACTTACAGCCTAAATCTGTGACAGCATAATGATATTTTAAACAACCTTAAGCTTCATGTTTGTGCATGAGGGCACTGTCATGTTGAAACAGGAAATGGACAAACACAATGTCATGCCCATAAATAAATGGTTTTCACAGTTTTGTGTGGAAGAACCGGAACAAATGGTTTACACAGAGCCCTGACCTCAACCCCATCCAACACATTTGAGATGAACTGGAACACAGACTGTGAGCCAGACCTGATCGCCCAACACCCAACTGATGCTCTTGTGGCTGAATTGGAACAAATCCCTGCAGCCAGGTTCTGAAATCTGCTGGAGAGTCTTTCCAGAAGAGTGGAAACTGGTATACCAGAAAATTAATGCCCCTGCTTTTGGAATTACATATTTGACATACGGGTGTATTGTTTGAGTGTCCACATACATTTGCCTATTAATTCCAATAATTCCTGGCCTTGGTTGAAGATACTTTGTATTTTAAAAAGAAAAGTAACTGATCGCAATGCTGACAGGAAAAAGATATTTGTCTTTGTGAATTTCATTGGATTTCGGGAACTCTAACCTGAACTAACAGACCTTTTATCACAGCAAATATTTGGACTTGTCAAAGCAGGAAAAGCATATTAATGATGGCAGTGAGCCAGCATGCACAATAGGGCCTGAATGGAAAGCAGCCATGATTCATGTTATTAGGTACACCTGTGTGTGTCAAACCAGTTTAAAACCACTAAAAAGTACTTTTAAAAAATTGAGGTTTGAGCTTGTTGACCCACCTCCTCATCAAACTCCTCAGGTTCCTCCTCGTTCTCAAGCTTTTGGACAGAAGTACCGTAGTAAAATGAACAGTTTTATTTAAACATAGATTATATCAGGTGGAAAGAAAAACACAAAGTTTATTTCAGGGAGCGACAACTGGGAGTCTATGGAGGAGGAGGAGGAGGAGGAGGAAGAGTTGATCACTCGCTTAGGAGTAAATTGGGATCAAACTAAAAATAGACACAGACACACACTACTGGGTAAAAAGAGGTTTGACAGGTGGCAAGAGGTTCAGGGTGGGTTTTTTGCTTTAATGAACTTGTTTATTTTGGATGTTTATGTTCCAGGAGCAACAGGGGAAATGGGAGCGAGAGCAAAAAAAGAAACCTAGACATACCCTCTCTTCCTCCTCAGTTAGCTGGAGAGAGAAAGACAGACATACTCACTCTCACATTACTTAAATTAACTTGCAGCCTGTGCATGCACACCCTGTTCACAAGTTTCACAATTTCCTGAACACCTGCGGCACCTTTCGCACCTTTAGCAAGTAATTTTATTATGTACTGTGTATATAGAGATACTATTGTTATAGAGCTTCTCCACCGTTAATAGTCCAAAAATAGGTCACCAAGGTTACTTTACATTCAAGCAAGACTGAATAGTTAAGTGAATGTCGCAGCAGAAAAACAAGAGTGGGAACTTCTCATAGGGCTTTTACTAAAGATGTAAACATACTGTACATTTGCAAAATTTAGTTAAGCCAAAGACGTCCTTATTTGGCCATTTCATTCCCCTTGTTGACCTGTCTCTCCTGGTGAGACATAGTCATTAGTGTAGTGTAGATTTTATTCCCACAAAATACAGTGTTTTCAACTGACGTTTTCCACATAGCACATGGAACAACACAAAAACCCGCTTCTTCTTCTTGTTCTTCATCATTTTTAAAGCTTTGAAGCACAACTACAGGTTCAAGACAAACACACACACAAAAAAACAGATTCCTGCATGCATATAAAATTCAACTCTGCTGCTTCTGCTTGTAACGGCAGATGAACCCAAATACATATAAAATGGATCCATTACATTAATTGGGTCACACCTGGAGGACGGTGAGATGACCCAAATAGCTTTGTCTATATACTGGAACATGCCATTGCCAACAGGAAAAAAGGGTAGATGAGGAATTTTTGTGCGCAGGAATCTTTTCCAGCACCTTTCAAGAAATGCCTCTGGTGTGAACATCTGTAACCTCACAAACAACTAGATATTTGGAAATCCAGAAGCAGTTACTGGATAAGCTGTGCATGCCAAAACATTTTTCTGATTTAACAACATACTTTTCTTTCCTTTAATTAGGTGGCGCTGGTGTTGGTGGGTTGAAAAAGAAAAGCACTCCCAGTGACAACAAAAATTCAGACAAACACTAGTGTAACAGCCATCAGTACATCAAGGCATTTTGCTCCTTCTAGATTGGATTTCTTCTCTCTGGTATAAATGTAACGACACCACGTGTTGCACCGTTTGCGAAGTTGTTCATTTTCAAAGCGGTTCAGGAAAAAACTCTCCAGTCAACCTCAGTTTGTCTGAGTTACAGCTCTTGCTGTGTGCTATACCAGAGTTTGTCTTTTACATCACACTTTTCCCACAAATTTGACTGGGAAAGCCATGTTAAAATGCCACGTGAAAATGAAAGAATATTGCGTTGAAACTAACAGTTTTCAGTCGTGTACTTTAAAGACCCAAAGCACTGCAGGCTTTCATTTCAACACTTTGTCCTTGAACCAGAGAGATAGACCTCATACAATCAGTGGCTTACAGGCTGAAATGAAAAAACTTCACACTCTCAGGTCTCCATGGCAGATGATTAAAAACCACTGGTGCAGGAAAAGTGTGTATGTGTGTACATCTGTAAATGCTCACCTGTTTTGCTCCCATCGACTCAAACATCTTCTCCAACAGGACCCTCATCTGCTGGATGTTGTTCATCAGCACGCAGGGCTGGAGGAACACAGATGAGTGAGACAACAGGTGCGTGAAAAAAACAAAACGAGGGAGACAGAAAGTCAATTAACAAAGGAAACATCAGGAAAGTAAAAATAAAAGAGCAAATGAATGTCAGGCACAAAACAAAACAAAACAGAACAGAACAGATGATGACAGGAAGATGAAAGAACAAAACAAAGACAAAACAACAGACATGGAATTTAAAGAGTTATAGAAGTGGGCAGAAGCTACTAAAATATTAATCCATTCCACAGAAAGAGCACTAGCTTTCAAAGTGCTCGGTCTCTCCCCAAATCAGAGATGAGCTCAGAGTGAGGCGGTTTGGTAGCAGAGTGGCGACGCAGCAGTACTCACTATCTTCTCCTTCTCACAGTAGGAGGGAAAGCTCTTGGCCAGCAGGGCACAGTACTGCAGCAGCACTTTGGTGATCGTCTGTGGAAACAAGATAACACACACACGTAGGACATGTTTACTCTGGGAACTTCTGGAGAAGTGAATCTGAACGCTGGCATTTTCTCCTTTAGTTTGATTTGTTTGGTCAGGTGAGAACACTGCTGTTTGAACTCAGGTGGCATTAAATATTCACACTGTGACGACTGAAAAATGTTTGTCTGTCTTTCTGCTAAGACAGCTGCAGGCAGTTTATTAGAAGTGAAGATGTTCTGCAATCAAAGGGTTTGTTTCGGATTCTGGGGCAATGCCAAATTCATTCAAGTCTGTCAGAGCAAGTCTCAAGTCACATCTCAGGTTTTTCAGAAAGTCATAAGTCTTCCTAAGCAAACTTGCAATTGACCATTAAAATGACATTTTCTTTGTACTGACTCTTGAGACTTGAATGATTTTCCCTTAAGACTCAACTAAGTTATATGTAAGTAGAGTCTCATAACAGTCATGTGCAACTCACTTTTACTTACGTCTATGTCCAACTGTCAACCTAACTACAAAAGTGAAGGAGATATAGATATGTGGAGGTGGACATTGATGTTAGATGTTCCTTATGGCTTGACGACTAGCAGAGCAAACAAGGCCGTCAAAAGTTACAAGGCATGAAACTGGTTTTGTTGGGAGTGACAGAGTGCCTAGTTGGTGCCACTGTAATCCTGTCTGATTACAGAAAGCACCAAGCATTGTGTGTTCATTGATTTGGCAACATTGTTTAGGTATTATGTGCTAATTTCTGTTTTTGCAATGACCCTCCTGCCAAACAAACACTGTAGGCGGCACTCAAGAGGCATATTTTTCCTTGGATCTCTCTTGATGAACAATTTCTCTAATTTCTCACTTGTGCAGCCAAGCTGGCTATCAGCTCTCATATGCAACAAACCAATTCTATCTATTTTAAACAAAGCATTTTTCTTCTTGCCAGGAGAATAAAACTCGTGTTTTTTTCACACTATGCAGTGTCCAAAACCATTCACTTCTTTATTTTTCACCCCATGTATCAAATTTGACTCAGAGTTGTCAATTTAGTAGGTAAACCTCTACCATTAAACAAATTAAACATAACAAGTCAAACATCATATGAATGGGGTGTGTGGTACTGTTTTAATCAGGCAGACCAGACCGCTAACATTTTTAGGACTTTAGGACCTTACTTCAGGAAATACTGTGTATCATCAGTTGTCAAATCAGATGATGAAGGTTAAAGTCAAGGGCAACTGGACTTAGTAGAAGACGTTTCGTCCCTCATCCAAAGGACTTCTTCAGTTCTGACTGACTGGTAGGGAAACTCAGCTATTTAACCTCAGTGGGGTCGTTTGCCTTGTTGATATCGCTGGTTCTCTAGTGTTCCTGGCTGTTGTAACGACAGTCGTTATGGTCGTTAGGACTACCCGTGGCCAAGACTGAACGACCATCGTTGGCATCTTCACCTGAGGCCAATAGGTTACGTTTGTTGAGTTTCCTGGGAAGTGATGAAAGGACAGCATTGTCAATGACGGCTTCTCAACCCTGGTGTAGATGCTTCCTTGACACCTCTTTCAAACCATCCATCTTCTCTGTCTAAAATATGCACCTGGTGGTCCTCAAACGAGTGTCCTCTGTCCTTCAGATGTAAGTAGACTGCAGAGTCTTGACCTGAGGAGTTGGCCCTTCTGTGTTGAGCCATGCGTTTGTGTAGTGGTTGTTTAGTCTTATACAGGTCTGTGCATTCCTCACTGCATTGGACCGCATACGCTAGATTGCTTTTCTTGTGTTTTTGTGTACGGTCTTTGGGGTGGACCAGCGTCTGTCTTACCGTGTTCTTAGGTTTAAAAAACACAGGGCTGTTGTGTTAGTTGAAAATCCTCCTGAGTTTCTCTGATACTCCAGACACGTATGGAATCACAATGTTGTTGCGTTTGACCTTCTTTTCCTCCTCCCCTGTAGTTTTGTTCTTCCTGGATCTTGTGGCTGTTTTCACAAAGGTCCATTAGGGTTCCTTCTCTCTGGCTTGGGCGTTTGTTGGTATGTTTTTTTTCTCTGTGGTGCAGTGTTCTCATGACCCCTAGCTTATGCTGGGTGGTGGGAATTGAAGAATAGCTATTGGTCTGTGTGTGTGGGTTTTCTGTAAACACCAATTTGCAGGCTCCTGTCCTCTTCAATGTGTACAGCGCAGTCCAGGAAGGCCAAACTGTTGTTGTGGACATCTTCTCGTGTGAACTTGATGTTACTGTCCACAGAGTTGATGTGTTCTGTGAAGGCTTGCACTTCCTGGCTTTTAATTTTGACCCTGGTGTCGTCCACATATCTGTACCAGTGGCTCGGTGCTGTTCCTCGGAAAGAGTTGAGGGCTTTGCTCTCCACTTCTTCCATGTAGATGTTTGCCACAATTGGGGATACCGGTGAACCCATGCCATGCTTCTGTCTGTAAAATCCTCCGTTGTACTGGAAATAGGTGGTGTTTAGACAGAGTAATTTGCAGATCTGGTCAGGGCTGAGGCTAGTTCTGCACACAATGCCTTTTGGTGAGAAATGATGAATGTCACGTTTGTTTACAATACAACAGGGTACTATTAAATTATTCAGTGAGTTAATTTAGTGGTTGCGATGGTAACTTGGCGACAGGAAATTACAAAAAACTGCGCCTGTAACTCTGTTACCTCACAGCATCTCGGGCTCGCTGTGAGAGGTTTCCCTACTTTCAGCTGAGTCAGCCAGATGGCCTTCTTACACTAATACATTAAACATGTTGCCTGGTAGCTGCCTGCATTACTTAGTATGGTTTCCTCTCATTTTATGACTCTTTTCTGCAGCTAACATCTCACGCTAAACTCCAAAATGAACTATAACTGTGCTGCTTTGGAGGCAGAAGAGAAAGTGATAAAAGGATAAGAAAGGCAAAGAATAAGGAATTGGGTGGTAACAAAGAGGCAAAAAAAGAAACTGGACGAGATATGTAAGGACATAAAAATAAAAGGCAGATATAGATATATCTGTAGACAAAGAAAATACAAGATGGAGAGTTCATAGAGGAACAAGATGGCAAGACAGTAGAAGAGTAGATGAAAAACTAAGCTAAGCGTAGACAGGGAGGGATGAAAAGGTAGAGATACATTGGTTAATTCTGAACACCAGAACCCCAGTTATAAGAGGGTGTGCACACTTATGCAACCAGGTTTTTTGAGGGTTTTTATTTGTCATTTTTCCCCCTCAAAGATTTCAATTTGTTTCTCAATTGAATTGTTCACATTATAGGTCACATTAAAGGTGGAAAAAGTTCTGACATGATGTATCTTCGTCTCATTATTTTACATCATAAGAACCTGGCATTTTAACAGGGGTGTGTAGACTTTTTCTATCCACTGGAGAGAGAGAGAGTGTGTGTTAGAGTGCTTACACACACTTATTGTTTTATTTATTTATTTAATTTTTTTTCTTTTTTTTTTTAACACAAACACGTACGCTTTGATTACTTTATACTTTAATTACTTGTTTAATGAAATGTATGGGGTTGATTGTTTTTATGTTGTATGTATGATGCTTTGGCAATATTGTTGTTACACATTCATGCCAATAAAGCTAATTTGAATTGAATTGAATTGGGAGAGAGAGAGAGAGAGAGAGGGAGAGAAACATGAGTGAAGATGCGGAAAATGAAAAGGGAGTCAAGGGTTGAGGACAAAGAGATGGAAAGCTCAGAGTGATGGCTTACATTAGCCATTCTTTATTTAATGAGTCCCATATTGATTGAGCCATCCCACTACACACACACACACACGGAGAAATATATGTGCACATATTTCTTCTGCAGAGAAAGGTTTGTTAGATTTAATGGCTATGCCTAAAAGCTTAAGACCTTAAATTAAATTTGAAGAAAAAATACAATATCAAAGGTTCAATAACAAAACATTACACTGTACACTCCCATTTTGCAAACAAATACCTGAAACTCATCAGTCAACATCTCACAAAAGGCCCAAAAGATTCAAGAGTCAAACAAAGACGAACTGTGTAAGAAAAGCTCTTGAGATGACTCATAATTTAAAGCTGCGCCAGGAGCACTCATCTGTGCCTCAGTGATGAATGGCAAGCAAGTTCGTAAAGAAAGAGCTCAAACGTACAAACAATAGCTTAAATTTTTGATAACCTTCCCTTTTATTTGCTTCCCTCTTAAGCTTCTTTAAAAAAAGAAAATTTAACGTTTACCGAATTCATTTCGCAGGATGTGAGGATGTACTGAAATCTTCAGCGGGGAAATGTTTACATTCATCCTTTAGACCACAGAAATAATCCCAATGAAAACTGTCTCCAGTAGGGCTGCAACTAATCATTATGTTCATTATCACTATTTTTTGTGATGCCAAGTTAATGTCTAAAAGTTGCTCTTTTAGATTGATCAGCAGTCCAAAAGATATTAGATTAGATTAGCAAATTTGAGAAGCTGGAACAAGCTAATATTTGGAATTTTTGCTTAAAAACATTGCTTAATCTAGCTTGGTGGATTACATCTGGGGCGCTGTTTCCATTCATCTCCACTGTACTGAGCCAGAGGCAGAAAATACAGAAACACACATCTGAAGACATGGCCAAATAAAACCCAAACTAACTTGTTTTTCTTTTATAGCTTCCACTGGAGGCAAAATTGAAAATTGGGGGACCTGACCTATCAACAGTACTTTTTTAGAAAGAGAAGAGAGCTTTTTTAATGTGCTTATAATGTATATGAGTGACATGGTGTCTGCTAGGCTCATAGGTAGCAGCCTGCATGTGCACAAAAAACAGTGAATGAACAAACAAACCCATGACACGAGGTTGATCAGTAATACATAGACAGAAACTGATATAAACAACGTTCTTGTGTCACACCTCACCTTGGCAAAGCGTCGGTTATACTGGCCCACCACAGTGGGGTCAGGGCAGTCCAGCTTCTTGATGATCTCAAAGCTCTGGTTGAGCTGAGTGAAGATGTCCACCACCGAGCTGGAGAACAGAGCATGCTCAGACGTCTGCTGGAACTGCAGGTGGAGGGAGGGGGGGACAAATTGCAACAATTTTAGACCACTGGTGCTCTTTTCTTTAATCAAAGCCTCTCTCCATCTTCACTCTGCTGTTTTCAGGGAGTACTGTTCCTCACAACAACCACCTTCAGGACTCATATGTCCCTCTGCTTCTCTACTTTCCTGTAATCAAATAATAACTCAAACCATTCTTACTTATTTTTACTGGCTACGGTAACTGTGTTCTTGTGTAATTATTCTGCAGATTTCAGCGCACTCTGACCATTACAATCATCATCATTTGCTTGAAATGTTGCTGGTCTGGAAATAGAGGGCTCATTGAACTTTTGCACTAATACTATGTTCCAATAGATAAATTCATCAGCTAAATGGCTAAAATGGAATTGGAAATGGCGCCCAGAGGGTTGGTAGGGTAGTTTGTGGTAGTTAAGAGAACCATGGCATATATTTCCCAAGTGTCTGAGTCCTGCTGTTGTATCCTGTAGTCTGTGTCTCTCACTCTTAGAAACCTACTGTATATGGATCCACAGCTGGTTCTTTGACAGCCAAAGGGGGCTGATGAGCACTTAACAGTTCCTCAATAAAATCTGTCTCTAATGGACTCCTTGTAAAAATAAGTTAAAAGAGCTGTGCCATCAGGCTACATAAGAGAGTAAAGAGTGTGTGTATGCTGAGTAAAATAATATTTGCTCAGAGTATCCCCTGATAGCCAATATACAAGATATACAACATCCTTTCTGCATTTTTTTTGGGCATTTTTGGAAATAATCTTTCTAAATGTCCTAACTGTGACCTAGTTTAAAATAATATGCGAGTGGCATATTATTCACATGGCATATTCCTCTCATTGCAACATTTAGCCACAGCACCCTTTCATTGTTTAGTACTGAATCCCTCAGTACTTTGCACACTCTTTTGCTGCTCACTTGAAAGCTATGGCTGCACCGTTGCTTCTGCTGCTCCTCCACTCCTGAGCAATTGTGAAAAAAGATCCAGTCCTGTGCAGAAGGCTCTAGCAAAATAACTTTTGCTTGAGTCTTGAGTCTTGAGTCGGCAATGCAACATCATCTGGCAAGGTCAGATGAAATTTTCTTCATAATATTACAAACTGCTGTAAAGTGTTTTAGTGTGTGATAAGCCAAAGCAATGTGAGCAAGACTGAAGAGAGTGCAACCATCTGTATAGGCCATGAAGAAAATAAAAAACAAACCTCCCTCCACCCATACTATCCATATGGAAAAAACTGTGTGTCATGTCAAGTTTGTACATCAGCAAGTCAGGTCTGAATGCGCCCTTAGTGATGGAGAACCAGATCAGTTTGTGTGCCCACAGCCCATTAAAAAAAAACATAGGACTTCTCCAATGAAAACATTATGAGTGCCTCAAAATTATACTTTCAACAGTCGAAGTGTTCACTTCCAGCCCTGACCTACAGTCCTTTTCTGCAGACTAAACTCTCTCAAAATAAACTCATAGAGGACAACAGTGTTCTCTGAAGATAAAGTGCAGCCTTGGGACCAACAGGAGGTCGAGAGACAGCACTTGTCCATCATTCTGTTAATCTGGGAACTCTGCTACACCTGAATGAATCGAAGCATCCTTCAGATGCGTCCATGAACAAAAGGTCATGAGACTGAAAGCTGTCTGTCATTCTGTTGTTGAGTGCCAGTATTGTACAAAGTTATCATTTTAGCGGCATAGGTTTTCTACTGCTGTTGCACCTTGGCTCCTTTATACAATACGATCAACAACTCAAAAAATGTGGTTTCACAGTGCGACAAATGGTTAGGAAGTTGCTGTTTTATGATACTTAATTTGGTTCTGCTGTATAACTAAGTAGGTTTTATATTAAAATAAACCAGTTGTATCGGTTTTTCATCACAAGCAGCACTTGCAACGGAGAAATTTACATTTTAATATTCTGCAGTGTTAATTATAGCAGTTGCTTTTTGTGATCATTTATAAGTATTTTCATCTTGAGTTTCCATTTGTGTCCTGATATTTTTATATCCTTATTGTGAGCACTGTGACCGGAGTCGTAGTTCTTCAGTGTTTGCAAGTGGGGAAAAAAACAAATAGGAACATATTACATTTAGAAGATGTTTGTGGCAATACACCAGTAATAATAGCTTAGATCACAAACACAATGTCTCGTCTCACTAATTGAGGAGGCTGAAAATTGTTCCTGTTTACCTAAATTTAATTGTGATGTCTGGTGACGCAATTTCTCCAGATAAGAAATTTTAAGTTTTCCTCCAACTGAGAAGCTAAAAGAGATCATTGGAAAAGTTGGTATAGATATTCCATATAACTCCATAACTATACATCCATGAATACGCTGCATACAGGAACTGATAATAATTCATTTGGCACACTTTGATGGTGGCAATTTGCCAAAATGTACACAAATACAGGCTATACAGGCTGACCTCATGGCAACATTTTACTTCCTGTTTAGTAAAATGTTGTTATGGCTTTCCCTGTTTTCCCTCTAATTATGTTCTATTATTTTACATGTTTATCTAGCCATTGACGATAGTTTTGAGTAGTTTGCTGGCGCACAACTAAACAGTAGACATTTGTAAACGGGCACAAAAGAAACCGATAAAATCCTGGATTTTTAAAGGAAACAAAAAACATATCTGAGCTCAAAATAATGATGGATAAGCCGAGCTGAAAATGTTCTGCTCACAGAATAGTCTTTCCTACCACAAGGCCCTTCACATTTTCATTTGTTTGACTCACCCCTTCTCTCTTGTCTCTCTCCAGCGCCGCATGCATAAACTCCATCGACACCTCCTCGTTCTCAGCCAGCCATGCCAGGACAAACTGGAGAAACCACCTGAAACAATAACAACACACAAACAAAACCTTCTCTTAGATGAACAGTAAAGTTGATACACTCTAATGGATGTGTTTTTAGTCTATTGAAATTAGTGTTGCTTTGACACGGAGTAAACAAAATGTTTGGTTGTAAAGCTTGAAGATTAATCTTTTAAATCTCTTTAATTTTAAAAAATTATTTGCCTAGTTCTATGTCTTATCTGTTTTATTTTATGTGTTTGTTTTATTTTATCTTGAACTTGACTCATTTTAATTGACTCAAAATGTTTTACTCATGTAAAGCACCTTGATCCTTTGTTTTGAAAGGTGCTGCGTCAATAAAAATTTGTATTATAATTATTACCATTACCATGTCATCTTTCTATTGTCCAACACCAGTGAGGGCACTTTGAGTGTGTCTATCTATCATTGTGTATGCAACAACAGGCACAATCTCAGTGGAAAAGCAGAAATCATGAGTTCCTTTTTGTCTGGAAGAGACAGGGATAGAGTGATATAATGAGTGTAAAAAAGTGAGTGAGTGTGTGTGTGTGTGCGTCTTACGCAGGGTACTCAGGCACAGCGTCTCTGAAGGTGGGCAGGTCCTTTACATACTCGTTGTAAAGCCACTTGACCTTGAAGTGCAGGTTCATGTAGTCAGCTGTCTTGCAGAGCCTATGCTTCTCATGTTCTGTAAAAAACCACACACACAGAAATACACACACCAGATTCATCTAATGAGGTGTGTTGGAGCAGTTACAGGTTTACAGTGAAATTTTGTGTGCATGTTCGTTTGTACCCATGAATCTTCTACATTTTACAGTTCATCAGATCCTGTTTTCATCAAACTCTAATCAGAGATGCCTCGGATATTGAGGTGCATCATTCCCCCAAGTTTGAACTACTTTAGTAGCATTACTTAAGATATCAAGGGTAACAGAGGGATGGACCAATAAACAAACGCACAGAAAGAAAGAAATCTATCCTTAGTCTGTCACCTTACATTCATTGTGGGAAATAACGCTGTTAAAAAAGAATCCAAAAGTTCCTTGAACCTGCCAGAGAGTCAGACAAATAAGACACTCCTGCAGTAGAGTAACACAGCGACTCGCCTGGGCCAGTTATTATTTTAAAAATGAGTCTAACAGATTCTTCATTGCGAGTTTCATCTAAATCCAATCAGTGTTCCAAAGATCAAACAAATGAATGGAGGAATGAGAGCAAGGAGACCAATCCTGGAGACCAGGTGTGATTTCAATTTGGGCTCCAATTATGGGAGGACTCCAACATTACAAACAAACAGTAGTAAGTGGAAGTGTCAGTGCCACAGTTTTATCAAAATATTTCTGTAGTTCTAGGATGATCTTATATCATGGAAAAGCAGTAAGAAAGTTAATATATTTGTAATCTATAATTCATACCATATTTACTGTGAGATCATTCAGTGTGATGATAAGCAAGTAGAACATGTGATGAGGAGTCTATTTCTACAGGTCTTACAATGAATAATTGAAAACAGGGTCATTAGTGTGTCATTAGTCATTAATGTCATAGAGATTAATTTTCTCATTAACAAACACACATTTCCTATAGATCCGAGTTTCCCACCCCCTGGGGCTGCACAGATAATTTGTTAATGGCAAATCGCTGAATAATAACATCACTTTGTAAGCTATTCTTTGCACTAATTACCTTGAACTTCATGCATCTGTCTGTACTGCATGTTCATCATGCCCCAAACAACAAGGTGCTGATTTTTAAGTAAAGTGGGTCATCAGTATGCAAGGTACGATGGTAGCCTGCCATCATTTCAACCTGAGTAATTGCTGAGGGGTCTTTATTTATTTTATTTAGCAAGCAAACACAATGAAATAAAGACAAAATAAAAAGTTTCAATTTTCTAGTTTTCTTTTTATGCTGGTCCATTTTTGCTTAACTCCTATAAATCATGCCTGAACCAACATTTACATGATTTATAAACAGACACGCAACCCCTCAAAAGTCTATCGCGAGATCTTGAGGTGTGGAGAACAATTAAGTTTGTTTTTGTAAAAGTGGTCCACAATGCATAAAAGGTTGGGAATCTCTGCTATAGATGACTAATCACAAATAAACTTACACACAGACAGACACACACAGAAAGACACGCACACGCACGCACACACACACACACACACACACACATTGAGTCTTACCAGTGTAGAAATCAACATTGCGGATGCGAAATGTGGTGACAGCTGAGATGGCAGCAGAATTATAAACCAATGAGTTTATAGAAAATAGAGAAGCAAGGTTGATAAAGCATTGACTTAGATGACAATGGCTTCAGAGATGGAAAAAATAATGTTAAAACACAGTACTAGGGGAACTGAAAGGTAGACTAGGAAAGTCTAGAAATCTGTCTCCTAAAGGACTCTTAGCATCTTAGAAAAAAAACCTTTGTACAGAGCACTGACTCCACAGGTTTTAGGGTTCTGTAAGCAGACTTCAAATGTTTACTATAACAACAGAAAAACTAAAATCTAAACTAATTCTATAGTATTTAAGCTGCGTTTCACAGTTTAATATGAGAAACAGTCAAAAGCCAAACTACTGAGTAGCTAAGCAGGTTTCAAATGAGAAAATGGGACTCTCAAGGTCTCAGAGTGTGAAAGTAGTCAGCTGTTGGTACATTTATCGTGAAAGCACCTTACAGTATAATGTGGAGAGCTCCAGGGGAAATCAATTATGTTATAGACAGTTTCTCACATAAACTAATCTTATATATGACAATGACTCACAGGACCAGGATTCACAGTAACACATTTGGCAAAATTCTGAAAATAGGCCAATTTTTTGACATTTTTAATATTATTTTAGGTTTTTGATGATCTATAAAATAATCTGCTTTCCATTCACAACTGCTGCCAAAGGAGTTTAATCAAAACGTATTCCAGGTTAGTTCTAGGGTTGGGCCTATAGACAATGCCACCGCGACTTGTAACGCAAGTTAATAGTCTACCACATTTTTTTTAAGTCTGTGCGAGAACACATGCACATAACACGACTGCTGGACCCCCGGCGTGCGTCCCCGCACCCGATGATATCGTCCATCCTGATGTTTCATTGTAGACATCGCCCAACCCTAGTTGGTTCAGATGATGTTTGTTACACTGTCTGACTCTAATTTGTTCTCCAGCATAAACAAACAGAGCAGCTGTCCCACTACTGACTTTATCTTGCTATCAGTTATATCATGTTTGTCTATTATCTCACCATTGTTCCAGCGGCAGTGGTTACTTTTGTGCAAAACTGGAAGAGACAATAGCAAAAAGAAGAAACAGTTGATGAAGTGAAGAAAAGAGCGTGTGAATGTAGCGGTGGGAACCTCTCTCTTACACGCACAAACATATTTACACACACACACACACACACACACACACACACACACACACACTTTATACAGACACACACAGTCTTACCCTCCAGGGCGTATTTCATGTCCTGAGCGAACAGCATCCACATGACCTCAGCGCTGACTTTACCCACACTGAGTTCCTGAGGAAACCTGAAAGGGAGGAAGGAGTCAGAATTTAGGACCAGAAAATCAGTAAAAGTATTAGTTATTCTGCTAATGTGTATGTTAACATTCTGCTTGGTATTCAAACTGCCGACTGATGCTTTGTGAGTGTATGATCAGCACAAGTATGACAACATGTAAACACACGAACTGAGCATCCTTAAGCAGGTTGGAATATACAGAAACATGCAATCAAGCAGAAGACACACACAAACACACATTCTCTGACCTCTAAAGTTTGAAACTAATGAAAACACTAATATTTTGTAAGGCTATAGTTTATCAGTAATGACGTTAAAGGGAAACAACTTGCAGCAAGATCAAAATAACGTTAAATGTTTCAATAATGTTTTGAAGTTTAAAAAACTGCTATATTTGAGAAATATTTGAATCATCCAAAACTAAACGGCAGAGACCATTGCCTACATATATTTATACGTACAGATAATAGTTTTAAAATATGAATATAAATGAAACTCTTGATTCATTTTAATCTGTGATTATTTATACAGTTTACACTAAAGAAGGACAAAGGCAACCAAACATTCCAACATGATGCTGCTTGTATGTTTTCAGGAGGGTGCTGTGCATTTTTTTTCTCAATTAGCGTTTGCGATTTACAGTAAATTCAACATGGTGTGAGCAACTTAAAATAATAAATTCTCTCATTTACCAGTTATAAACTATGATCTGATGGGAAGAAACAAACATTTTCACTCATCTCAGAACTATAATAGGCCAAATAAAAAGGTAAATGACACAGCACAAAACTCAGTACTGACTGGTTAATGACGGACGTGTAGGAGTTCTTGTCCTCCTCAATGATGGAGACGATGAGCGTGATGAGTTTAGGCCAAAAGTCCAGATTCTGGATGCTCGGGCCCTGCTCCTCCTGCTGGCTCTCCTCTTTCTTCTCCTCCTCCTCTTCCTCTTCCTCCTCCTCCTCTTCATCATCATCCTCCTCCTCCTCCTCTTCCTCTCCTTCCACTTTTTCCTTCTTCTTCTTCTTCTTTTTCTTCACTGGCTCAGGCTGCAAGAGGGTGAAAACACACAAAATGAAAAGACGTAAGTAAGAATTTATTTGCCGGACATGATGTGTCCTCTGAACAGTTAAATCCAGATCTCCAGTAGGCTGTTATGAAATAAGTGGCAGCACAGAACTAAAATATGGTTTAATGCTCAACAGTTGTGATTTCAGTGAATAATCTGCAAAGAATAACTTACACCAATAATTACAATATTATTCCTCCAGTGTACTGAGACATTTTATTTTCAAATATTCTGGCTCCATGTTTATGTGACAAGGTTCTGCACACTCCATAAAATTGAAAAGCAGACTTTTCTTGATTAACATGCAAAGTGTTGTTAATTTATACTGAACCCAGACTGGTTTAATGAGTTTAGACACATTAAGACATGCATCTTAAAAATATTCAGTGTTCTGGAGATAACTCTTCGGCTGATGGAGACTGACTTAATTAGTGCACCAATTAAGGCTAAGCCAGCAATTGCTGTATATACTGAGATTAATATGAGCAAATGGAGGAGGTGAAGCTAAATGTGAGATTGCATCCTGTTTTTGCTTGATTTTTACTCTAAAATGGGCATGGCCTTTGTCAAAGATCCACTGTCATTAAGTAACTAACACAGTAGTTTGCAGAATGAGAGTGTGCGTAAAAATATCCAGCTGTGGACGGGGTGGTACAAAACATAGCAACCTGCCAGACGCTGCATCATTAATGTCGGCATGTTAATGTTCTAACTGTGAGCATGCTAACGTTAGCATACTATTTATGTGTTATACGGTCACTCAGGCTTTACTTCTTGATGGTGGAGGTGCCTTTGTGTAACATTGCCTCGCACTGCTTAAGTTGAGGGTTATGGTGGGCCTCATTGCTGAGGCAGGATGAAGCTATGGTTCTCACTCCAACAACACCACCAACTATAATGTGTTCCACCCTGTACAGTGGTTGCCTGGTAGTAACAGTAAGACTGTCATAACACCAACTAAAGTGTCCTTGACTCTCACGATCAGGCTTTTCTGATGCGGACTATGACCTCAACTTTCCTGTGGTATGTTGTAATTAAAAGGTAAATTGTCAAATGGGAATCAACAACTATTACATTACTAAAAGAAATGTTGAACCTTGAAGACAGCCAGTATTGTCATTTATTTCAGGCCCATTTCTGCAGAGCATCTTCGGTAAAAGCTCAGAACATGTCAATGATTGGCAACTCACTGGCTGGACGGCGGATTGGAACTGGCGGTTAAAGAGCTCCAGACAGTTGTTGAAGATGTACTCGTAGGTGGAGTTCAGGCAGGCTTTGACGCAGTCCCGCACCACGTTGGCGGCTCTGGGAGGACTCTGCAGCTCCAAGACCTGCACAAGACCAGACAGTGGAGTGGGAAGATATATAGATAAGAAACACACACAGCCACGTATGCATTCATAAGCCATGGAGTAGGTGGACAAGCATTATCGTATCATTTAGGCCAGGTAATCTAGAATATAAACTCTTGAACAATAATCAAGAAGCTGTGATCAACAGACATGTTCACTTCACAAGGTTTTGATAGATTTCTTTAAGTGTGAAGGTTATAAAATTCAGGGAACTGTGAAAAACACAGAAAAAACACAAACGTCCCAGAAAATGAAGTTCAACAATAAATGAATAAACACAAGATGTAAGTGTGTCATTACAAATACATCAATGGAAAGAATATAATTGGATAAATTGAGACCAAATTCAAAGCCTTTTTTGATTCATTCCAAACTGGAAAAGAGAACAAATCCGTACATGGACACACAGATTCACACACTTTCTTCTGTCCTCCAGTGTGGAATCAATCTTCCCCTAACAGACCTGAACTCGACAGCACAAGCTCACTATGAGAGACATTAGTCAGAGGCAACAATCAATCCTGCAACACAGCAGCTCAACTCTCTGAGTGTGCTTCTACCCCTATGAAAGTCTTCACAAGGACCAAAATCTACAAACGAATTCTGCCAGTTTTGGGCATTTTGAGCTGAGTGGACCTACTTCAGGTTATGTAATAAAAGTGTGTGAGTTTATAGCATGTGTATCTTTGCAATGATAATCTCAATATTGGATACTGTCTCAATATATTTGCTCTTATTCTAAAGTAAATATAAATGGTTTGGGCTGTTTTGAAACCAAACCAAACATCTGTTTTCAACATAAGAACACACAGTTTAAGAAAGACTGGGTCTTAAAAATTTGTCTTCTATAGTGAAATCAGTCTTGAGTGTTGCATGTATCTAATGTTTTGCTGTTGATTACTGAGCTGATATTTTGTTTCTACCTTCATCCTGAAGAAGGTGATGCTGGTGAGTAGATCCACTGTTGACTTGAGGTCATGGAGGCGAGCCTTGCTGCTGGCTGGGAAGTTGTTCTGTAGACAAACACACACACACACACACACACACACACACACAGTTAACCATGCGTTTCTTTGGATAGCAAAGTTTATCTTCCTTTTTGCCCTTTTAACGCCCTTTGGAGGAAATAAAGACCCTCAAAGACAGCAGAAGGTGGTTTTCAGATTTATACCCAGCAACCTGTCCTTTTTTGGTAAATGAATGGTGACAAACTTACATGTCACTGGTATAGACTGAAGCTATAGATCAATATGCAGTGATGAAAAGAATAACAGCAGTTGAAAGCAGAGACTCACTCTGTACATGGAGAGGTCGATGCGCAGGGAGTTGTGCAACTGATCCAGGAGCTTCACAAAACGATCTCTCTGTTAGAAAGAGAAAAGAAAGTCCAAAGAGATTTGTCTCAGATTCTTGCACTTGTTCAAACAGTGGGGAAGATACATACATGAGCAATTAGTAGCCTGTCTGTGTGTTTGAATGCATCTGAGTGTCTGTCTCTGTCTGAATATGTGTGTAGTCTCGCACAGTTGGAGAAAAACAGGAAAGACTGAACTGAACAGAAAAAGAAATGTTTTGTCTGATAAATATATCAAAATGGCGACACATTTTTTCTGCATGTCGACACCATTAGAGCTCCATGACTATATTTAAGTTTGGAAAAGCAATTTCACACTTTATAACCCTTGCGGATGATGAAACGCTTCTTTTTGTGATGAAGAAACAAAGTAAAACTGCGGAACTGCAGTTCAGTTTGGTACATTCTGCCACAAGCTAACATGGCATACAATCTGTTTACCTACACTGAACTTTAATGACAGCACACATGGATCTTTTGACATGACTGTATACATATGAGCATACTCTTAGATGAAAGAATACACAAGATATATTGTGAGTTTTAATCCACTTTAACAATAGCCATTCAACAATTATTTCGCTTTAATTAAGGTAAAAGAAGTTGTGCTTTTAAACCAGTATGCCTTAATAAATTAACCACTATGCATTGTGGAGCAACGCTATTAGGATTGTTTGTATTGTGTTTGAGAATGCAAGCTCAAACATGCCAGCCTGGGGGGCTGCGATTCATATCATGCTGTAAGTTTCACACTAATCCACTTATTGACATTGGTGGTTTTGGTATCAGTAATGCGCCAAGAAACACAGCAATGCACTAGCAAAGACTGTTTGCTAGTGCATTGCTGTGACGATGAAGATGACTGCTAGCAAGAAAACATGGATTAAACAATGCACAATAAGAAAATATGCTTGCAAATGACTTACTACATGTGAAACTGACTGAGCACTTGGCCTCTGCATTCATTTTGTATTCACTTAACCTATTTGCAATGTGTAATTTCCGATCTATATACTGGTTTTCATTGTTACTGATTCAAATTGCATATACAGGAAATGCTGCACACTCATAGTAGACGTGCTGTGCGACAAAGGACGGCCAATTTCACGTACGGCTGAACCCAACTTTTGATCACGAGTTCAGTATTAACGCGTCAGATAACTTTATTGACAGCTTTAGGTTCTTTAATAAGAAAATGTAGCGAAATGAATACTCTCAGCCGGTAGTTTGTTTGGCTGCGCTGCAAATAGATACACCTGTTGTTCTTATTTTGCATTTCTGACTAGATAGCTGCTAGATGTATGTAGCCAGTGGTCGATACGTGTGTGTAATTTTAACTGAACTGGGTGATTTGTATTATTTAAATGTAGAAACCACACACAAACCCACCAGGACTGAAATCATGAAGAGAATGAACTGCTTTATATTATATTCATATAACAGATGCTTTCCACTTGCACACTCGCATGCAGGGACGGCTCTTGGGAGCAATTTGGGTTCAGTGTCTAGCTTAAAGACATGGAGACACATGGACAGGAGGAGCTGGGGATCGAACCACCCTATGATCAATGGCCAACCAGCTCTACTACCTGAGCATCAGCCAGTAACGGTATCCCCATTGCGTGTCTGTTAATTTTATCCACTACTTCCCTTCATATGTTTAGACAACACAAATGTATTTACATGTCATGCCAAGAAAGCAAACACAAATTGAGCGAGAGAGAGAGAGAAAGAGAGGGAGCACTCTGGCGAAGTGGGAGTCACGACACGGCTGAAAAACTAAGGAGAAAAAAGTTTTGTCTAATAGAGAGAGCGAGGGGGAGGAAGAAAGAGAAGCTGAGTTTCCAGTGTCACTGGAAATTGGCAGAAGTTACTCACTAGTTTGTTAGTTGCACTAGAAACACATTTAACTAATTAGTAACAACTGCGGTGAATCCCAAAATGGTTGTTTGTTTGATTGTATAACAGCTGGAAAGTTTCTTCGTAAATCTGTTTTACCTCAGTCTTTCACACCCTTGGAAAAGTAGCTAGTCATGGTTGCATAGCAATTAGTTTTGTGTGCATTGTTTTAATAAATTGGAAAGGGTTTCCCTTTGTTTTTATCTTCGGATGAAGGTATGAGCAATGGCCAACATTCACTGGCACTAAAGACCAATAAAAAAGTTGCCAAATTCAACTCTTGAAAGGCTCTTTCAACTCTTCTTTTCTTTGTGTCTATCTATGTGTCCCATGGTAGAAGAAACAATGCAGTTAGTAATTATGGAAGAGAAAACAGGGACACAGAGTGTTATACAGAAGCTATGAGTCATGACAGTTTAGAAAACAAGGAGACGAGTTTAGTTTTGGATAAGAGAGAAAAAACGAGAGGGAAGGAGAAATCCCCTAACATTAACTTACACAACAACATGCCAAAGCAAGACTGTCAACAAACCCTTAGAAAAAAAATGTTTTAGAGCTCAATTAAACTATTGACAACACATTAATGAGCCACACTGCTGCACTGGGTAACATGTTCCTTTATTACCATAAACACACACACACACACACACAATGAGGTTATTGTAGTTAATTCAGACACTGTCCTGCTGTTTTAGCTGTTTCAGGAAATTATTTACCCTTTTCTTTTAAGGATGCACCTTTCCAGCGTTTTCTCTGTGTCATCAATCAGATACTCCGGATATCTGCTGATACTAATTATAGATGTGATATACCAGATCTCCCTTTTTCACACATTTAAAAACCACATGGAACTAATTGGGATAATTTCAATTAGAGGCAACATGAGGCAAGGGATTGTTGTGGGTTAACAGCTCACAGTGCCCTAATAGAAGAAATGCAGAATTTGAAAAAAAAAGATAGATATTGATGAAGGAAATGTATTTAATGTGGATCAGCCTACCACTTAATAAATTCATTATCCGTCCTGATACTAAACAACTGGATCAGATCGGTATACTTTTTTACCTATTTGGTTTAGGGCTGAATAACACAGTTAATGAAATGCAGAGAGGTTTTGGTATTTTATGGGATTTTGTGAAATTGAGAAAAATATATAATTTCACTTGCATTATCCTTAAACCTAACTCTTAAACCTTATCCTCAACTGTAAACCCAAGTTTTAACCTTAACCGTCAAAAAGCCCTTGAAAGAAGTGAAAGAAGTGCCAGCCATTATATCCTCAATTCCCAAAACCGTCCTCAACCTCAATGTTTCAAACCCACACACACACTCAAACACAAATGCACGCACGCTCGCACGCACGCACGCACGCACGAACGCACGCACGCACATGACCTAAAAAGCCTGAGACAAGGATAGCAGATTGGTTTTGACCTTTAAAAAATAACAAATTGTCACAGTGTTAACGCAAGGCCTTCCTCATCCTCGCTCTCTTTCACACACACACACACACACACACACACACACACACGGTATCAGTAATAATTGTAACTGGTCCATTCTCCTTGTTTCCTACACACTGAAGGATTCTCATCCCGGGGTGCATGAACATCCCTGTCCTCTGCTGCTGTGACACAATTTATGTGATCATAAAAAAATTGGCACATGTTTCAAGTCATCAGATGCATGATAAATGTCTTTTTTAATTGGAATAATTAATTTTACAAGCCTAAAGACGTCACGTCACAATTAAGTTAAGTAGCCCGAAGGGGAAAATGGAAATGGACATTTAGAGCTGAACTTAATTGTTTATGCATTAACTCAAGATTAACAACAGAAACATCACCTTTGTTTGAGTTTTTAATATGCCAAATTCCTTTAGCTATTATCAGCTAACTATATATTTTGTTTTTTTTTATTGCATTAAATTAAGATTTATTTTTTAATCTGTCCAAGAGAAAGCGCTAGCTCTGAAGTCATTCAAATCTTGAGGCATTACTTAATGAATCAGTGGTGCTCAGAGCAAGCTAACCATTATGGCTGTTTGTTAGTTCTTATGTGACTTTTGTGACACTGCAGCAAAGCTAATAGGACTGGAATACTATAATATATCGCAGGGGCGGTGATTCCAATCAAAACACATCTTTGATGTCCATCCAAAAGAAATTCCCTCTTGCCGGCTGCCAACTGATGTAACCAAACTCAGCACCAAAGACTCACAGATTTCCTTGTGGAGCAGGTGCAGAATCACAACAAGCTAATAACAGGTGCCTTAAACAAGTTGCTGAAAGCAGATGACATTAAATTATCTTGGGAGGAAACAGCATGTGCTGCTCTGGTCCTGGAGGAACTGTTGCCCAAAGCAGGACACAATCCAATAAGTATGTCCAAGAGTCAAATAGAAGTTGGAGACAAACTGTTGGAATGTGGGCTTTGGCCCACAGTCACAGGTCTCCTTAATTGTGTGTCAGTGTCTACTCCGGTGACTTAATTTTAGATCACTAGCACCAGAAACATGTAAGAAAACAGGCACAACTTTATTAGACGGGTCCTGTAATTTCATAATAATGTCCTGGGGGGTTTCCTGTAAAAGCACTATGGACTTTGGTACTAATTAAAGGTAAGTTGAGTTTAGTTAGTTGTGTTGAGTAAGTACAGCAGTTGTTTATTTCCAGAGGAAATCATAACAGATATCCATTGAAACCCAAGCAAATGTAATGTATTATCACAAATCTTATTTTTCACATAAATGTGGTATTCTTGCCTGTGGACATTGTTGTATGTTCAGCTGACCTGCTGTGCACTGACTAAACTCATTTCAGTTAATTGGAATTATTTCAAGTGTACCAGCTGAATGTTGTATCAATGTTCCCTATAATAAATAGTAATGCATAATCCTTTTCAGGGACCTCCCTGAGAAATTACACTCTACATGAACCTAAACGACCTTAATCAAGTTAATCCATGACGTGCTCTGCTGCAAAATCTTCAGTACACTTTCAATAATTAACTTTCAAGGAGCAGAGGAGCTCCCTGGTCATCCTGGACGATGACCAGGGAGCATTTTAGGAAATCTAACTGAGCTTTTGATGCTGCTCTGAACTAGCTTAAAAAAAGCTATGCAGCTAAACATTCAGGTGTGAATGTGTATAATGGAGCTCTCAGGTGTGAACAAGGGCGTAAATTTCATCTAACAGTTGGGGGGAGACAATAAACATAACATTTCTCAAGCAAAATATTTGAACGTGACACAAATAATAATGTTTCTATATAGATATGTTTTCCCCAGAGGGAGAACATATCTATATGATGATATATTTTATAGAGAGATGCAGGGCGGGGCATAGGAGAGGGAGCGAGAAGACAGAGACGTGAAAGACTGAAGTGAAGTTTTACAAATTAGGACATCACCTTATTATCACGGTAACAGGTATACTGAAGTTAGCTTGGCTTAACAGTTAAACAAAAAAAGCAACGAAGAACTAGAAGGAGGAGCTGAAATAATGGAGGGAAATAATGTGTCTGATTTTCAAGCTCTGACTGGGAGGAAGCACAGCAGCGCTAGAGAGGACAGAAGAGAGAGACAGTAAAAAAGCTCCAACATATGAAAAGAGACAGATCAAGTGTCTACCGATGGATGGATATCAGGTTAATGCCAACAATTAAATTACTAATGCACACAACTGAACTTTAAGTTCAGTGTGTTTTTAAGGCAATACTAAACAAGCTTTGATTTTGTATTGACTCCACCCATATTCCATATATATATCTATATAGATATATATATGCAGTATTATGCTTGTCTGACCTTTTATTTGACGGATGACAGGAGTTACTGACAGGAAACATTAGAAGAAAGCAAAGGGATGACATGCACCCAAAGCCCCCAAATGGATTGGTATGCAACTTAGGCCCTTAGTCCAGTGAATAAATGCTATAAAATGATGTCTACTGTAACACCAAAAATAATACACAAGGGCAGTGGTGCACTAAGTACATTTTTGGACCCAAGGACAAGTAACTAGCTATTGCTTATCTTGGTTACAGCGTCAGTTTCAAACAACTGACTTTGGCATTTTCAACAATGCTATATGGGTGAGTTATTGCGTTTGACTTGGAGGAGTTAGGAGCCAGTGTACTTTGGAAGTAGTGTTACTTGCTCATATAACTTTAACATCAGTGGCTACTAGTGTTGTAGTCAAGACCGCTCAAACCAAGACCAAGCGAAGACCAAGACCGGAGTTTATCGGGACCAAGACAAGACCAAGATCTTTAGGCGCTGAGACCAAGTCTAGACCAAGACCAGAGTTTATCGGGACCAAGACAAGACCAAGACCTTTAGGGGCTGAGACCAAGTCGAGACCAAGACCGAGGGAGGGCGAGACCGAGTCAAGACCAAGAACAGTTCCCCACATTACATGACACACGGTAAAATGTGGAATGAGATCATAGGTACTTCTCAAACACTAAGACCTGAAATCAATGTAAGCATCTTTATTCAACTTTCCATGCTTACCATCGCGGGGAGGGGTGACAGTTGTTAACGGGAACAACACGTTTAATTAGGGTTATTAGTTGCATTCAAAGCAATATGTTTTCCATCCAGTCAAAGCTAGGATGTTAACAAATAAATCAGACAATGCAAAAGCAATTTATTCCCAAAGTTATGGTCTTGAAATAAAATCCTGAGTCCTCAATGTCCGAGACCGAGACCTTCAAAAAGTGGTCTTAAGACAAGTCTCAAGACCAAGACCGGTCTCGAGTACTACAACACTATTGGCTACTTCCCTTTAATGGAGAGGTCTGTGTTACCAACAGTCTATTTTGTCTTTGGCATGGATCTGTGGTTATGTATCAATGTCGCTGTATCTTCTCAGTTTTTCATTTCTTTCATTACTCTTTTGCCTTAATGCCTTTTTAATCTTATTTGTAAAGCGTGTTGAATTGCCTTGTTGCTGTAATGTGCTACACAAATAAACTTGCTTTGCCCTCCCTATTAGTAAGTAGTACCTAAATAACTGGGCTCATAGGTTAATCAGTGTATTAAAATGTTGTCAGTTAAGTATAACTCATTTTTATGTATGAAGTCAAAGCATTACCTAATAGTCACTTTATCATTAATTAGTGTGGGTACTCTATGCTTGAGTGTATGAAATGTCATGTATTAATTTATATATGAATTCAAGCAGAGTCATGCATTAATTACTGTCAAGTCAGAATGTTACTGATGTTCTCTATGATAAAGCAGGGAAAGAGAAAACAGCTTAATTAAAAGCTTGTGTTTTTTTTGATAGCCCAGATCTCCACATGACTCAATTCAGTGAAATTCAATTAGAGAAATAAGCATATAAACATATCCAGCAGGGCTTATTATCAAGCTGGCCCAAGGTGTCTGCATCCTCGGACCTATTAAAGCAAGAACACTCTGCCTGCAGTCGCTCATATATCACCGGAGTCTGAGTGCAACCAGTAGGAGCACCGAGGTCGGCACTATTGGCAAAGATCCCGGGATCATTAAGCCCGGGCCTCTAGCTGTCATTGTCCCCCGTCTGTGGGGCCTGCGGGCTGAATTTAGGACACCGTAAAGTTCAGAGACTTTCCAAAGGTCCCACAGTAATAAGACATTGCCTTTTTATGAGGATGATTATTAGCAGCATAAAGGAACATCACCTGGTGGCTCTGTACAAGTCATTATCATGAATGTCTATGTGATGCAGGTCCTTTACAAAGCTTTAAGTATCACAGACAATCCAGGTGACCTATTGTGGGAATGACACCTAGTTTAGGTCAAACTGCAGCTTTAAGGCTAATGCAAACTATAAAAAGAAAAAAAAACAACTGTAAAACTGTAAAAGATGAAATCTCCGCAATACTATGAATGTCTTTATATGTATTTCTTGTCTTTTTGGGTGGGTGTGTTCTGTGTTCTAAGGCTGAAATCCATATGTTAGTACAGCCCTGTTATCTTTTAATATTGGCTTGCAGAGAACAGTACTTTTCTTTAATCAGTGCCATTACAGTGACTAAATAATCACATCAAAATGAAAAGAACACCTTCTGGTGAATGTTTGGGTAAAATCATCTTGAAAGTAAATGTTAAATTCATTAAAAATAGATTGCATAAAGTGTTTTCTGCTTTGACCGACAGCTGAATCTCAACATGCCCTCGATATATTAACGCTGTTATGTATCTGCAATCCTCTGGAAAGACAAATAATCATATGTGACTATCATTGTTTTGACCTGTCATTGTGGTGCAACCAATATCCATGCCAGGGTCATTTTGAGACTGTTTGCTTGCTCTTGTGAATACATAATTTCCCAAACTTCATCAAAATCAAATCAGTAGTGTCTGAGAAATCAGTTGTGACTGAGAACGGATGCAGTAAATAATAATGAAACAGAAAGAGAAGGAGCCAGCCCATAAGCCTCAAGAGAAATACTGAGAAATGTATGACACTTCTACTTTTAGCTAGACAATACTTGGCACCTAGATGGACGTTAGAGGTTTTTGAGCTCCATAAGCCCATACCACAGCTAGTATTGTCTAATTGCTGTTTCCCTGCAGTACAAATCATATCATTGCCACAAGCTTCTACTCTACAACAGAAGCTTTGTAGTTCATCGAGACACATTAAAAGAATTATTTATGTGGCAGCTACAGGGCTGAAAAAATAGATGCCAACGTTGCAATGTTGAGACCGTTTTCAGTAGGAAGTCCACTGGTAAATGTGTATAGTTTGGTATAGGTAGGTTAGTGTTGTATAATAAAATGTCTTGTTTGACCTTCAACTCATTTACTTTATATTGTACCTTCATTAGAGTCACTTCTTCATCTGCAAGCTAGTTTAGCAAAAATGATATTACTATATAACCATCTTGTATTCTTATCTTATAAGTATTTTTCTTTTCGGTAACATGCAGCAATGAGCCACTGTTAACTACAAGGTGTTTATGTTATGTGTCCATGTTTGAGTTTCCTTTTCTGCAGACACAGATTTAAGTATTATTTCTAAGTAGAGATGGTTAAGTCTAATTCACTTATAACTTTGGTTTTGCCAAAGTTTTCTGTCAGCGATGATAAAGTTTATTTTTTGATCTGATGTGGTTTCGTTGAGGCTAACGATCTGGTAGAGACTAAAACTGTGGTTCCTTACAGAGCTATAGTTTCCAGTCCAAATAATGTTGTCTATTTCACACTGAGAAATCTAAGTTGTTTGTTTTGAAATCCAGTCACCTGCTAATGTTGTTCAAAAGGTGAGGGCTTCCACTGTGGCCACCCAGGTACACAACATCTCCTGAAAGCCGAGTCTGCCCTGAATCTAGTTCTTACAATGTGTCAAGAGGTGACACTTAACATACTGCCAAAGGTCTGTTGACAAATTGACTAGTCAAATTATCTTGAAAAGATTAGTGTTTATGCGTGTTTATTTCATCGTGTCTGGTGGTCACATACCCCGAAGTTGGAGGCTGCAAATCTGGCCGGAGCAGAGACGTTGGTGGAGGCGGTGGGGTGGGCGTAGAAGGCATTGATGTTGGCCAGCAGGGTGCTCATCACTGCTGGCACCCCTGACAGCATGTACTTAGACGACAGGCAAGAGAAATGGCTGAGGAGGAAAGGAAAGGCGAGATATTTGAGGGGGAGGAAGAGAAAGGGAAGGTTGGATTGAGGGAGGTTAGCAGGTTTGGATGGAGGAAGATTGAAGGTTTAAAAGGAGAAAAAAAAGGCAAGATGACATGGAGAGGGAGGGAAGGAGGTGGGTTTGGGAAGAGAGAGGGAGGATGAGACAGGTGGAGACAGAAGGAAGGAGGGGTTGAAAAGAAGACATAAAGAGGCCACAGTGGAGAAAATAAATAACAGAGAAGAAGGAGGATGAAGGATCAGATGGATGGATGGAAGGAGGAAAGGGTTGGGTATAATTGGAGATGAGAGAGAGAAGAAAGACAGACAGGTCGGAGGGAAAAAAAATTAATTGTTAATTAGTTGGAGATAAGTTAATACTGGTATTATATCAGACACATTTTTTTTATATGAAACAGCTCAATTATATTTTGTAATAAAAGTACAAATCAATACACTGACAGAAAACAGAGCCAGGCAGCTGTCAGGGGTTATATTTCTGTTTAAGCAGCAGGCTTTCACCAGCATTTTGATATGGCCTAAACAAAATACTGAATCAACTTCTTCATATAAATATCATTAGGGGGTAACTGAGGATCATTTCTCATCATGAGGAGTGCTACTCTGCTGGTGATAACAGCTGTTTAAATTCTGCATCTAAGATAATAACCCTGAGTTCAGGAGTCATTTTGGCTGAAACATTTTACACACCTATCCTGTGTAACTTTATTTCAAGACTACACATTTTGCAAATTGCATCATGGGAACGGAAGGATCTAAAATTTTTGAAGTATACCATACCAAGTTAGGATATCTTCATGCTTTGATTTTTCCCTTTGTAATTTCCCCAACTTTAAGATCCCCTCCAGAGATGTAAAAATACTTTGAGGAATATTTTGTGTCTGATATGGGTTTTCCACAAAAAAAAAGTCCACGAAAGACTACTTCATTAAATGTTTTCAAAATTACGTCTTCTCCTCCCTCCCTGAAAAATCCAGAATCTGTCAGTAACTGCTTTCGCCGCCTCCTTCACTGTAAAGTCCATTCTCAGTGTATGTGCATTGGAGGTTTCATGTTTCCACATCACACTTACGTAAGCTGTATTCTGGACCCCAATTGGCTTCCAAACTAGATGTGATGTTACAAAATCCTGCTAGTAAATAAATGCATGCACTCAGATTTAAGGTGAGTGCAGAGAAACCTTTCAGAAGAAGAAGATACTTTTATTGTCACATACACATACATGCTGTGAAATTCATTCTCTGCACTTTAACCCATCCTCAAGGGAGCAGTGGGCAGTTGCTGTGCAGCACCCAGGGACCAAATCCAGGTTTTTATCAGTGCCCGGTCAATTGCACTGACTGAAGAACTAACATGTTTGTGATGGTGGGGGAAACTGGAGGACCTGGAGGAAACCCACAGAGATGCTGGGAGAACATGCAAACTCCACACAGAAAGGCCAGGACGACTGGGGTTTGAACCCGTGACCTTCTTGCTGTGAGGCCAGGTGCTATCCACTGGACCACCATGCCGCCAACCATACCCTTCAGTAGATTCATGTGAGAACAGCCTTCTAGTTTCAGACTCAAGGAACAGACTTAAGGAAGTGCAATACTAACTGGTGTAGTATACCTATACATATATAGGTATATATATATATATTATTACTTTTGACCATTGTCCTATCAGCTTGACACACATTTGTTTATAAAGCTGTGATGCTACAATGCCAAAGCTGGCCATTATTGTTGAAAATAATGTCTAGCTAAAATCGGTTGGGTGCAGACATACCACTGTGTAATGCTGTGAATAAGAAGTGATGGTTGTGAAGGCATGGACAATATATCTATTCCCCTGAAGATTTTGCCAGTGAAATGCTATCTTTAAAATTCCTTCAATGCATTTTAAGGGATATAGCACGTTGTTTCGTCGTATCTAGGGAACAAATGTCTGTACATTTTTTTAAATTTGAGAGCACAAGTTACTTATTTAAGAGTGCAAACAGCTGACAGGCTCACCAAAAACCAGACACACATGAATTAATCAGTTTGTTCTAGCAAAGGAGCCACACAGCTGACTTCTGTAATGGCTTCAGTGCGTCTTGTGTATTTCAATCAAACTTTTCATTTGGCTGCGTTATTGATTGGCTCATCAAGTCTGGGCCATTTCTGCTTACAACTTCAATGTACTCAGTATGATTATGTTATGTCAGTGTGCTCCTTTATCACACAAACAAACACATAGACCTTCTCTGTCCCTTTAAGGTCAAATCACAACATTATTAATATAATTAAACCATTGTGTGTGTGTGTGTGGCTGTGTGTGTTTGTCTGCTGTTTTGCTCCACCTGCCTGCAATGATCTAATCAAACAGAGAGGAAATGTCTGAGGTGACAGGTCATTTTTTCTCATTAGATAAGATAAACTCATTTGCATGCCATTTATAGTTCATGACAACCACGCCCCCCTGGCATCACAACAACACACAAACACACATACAGGCATACAAATTCTGCACAGAAACACACTCATGTCAAGTATTTCCTGATTTGATTAACCCACATATGCACACAATCGGCTGACATCATAGCCTGTTAGATGAATTGAATACTATTGGAGTGCCTGGCAAACGTGCATATTCAGATACACACACATGCAGATACAAACACTGAGCTTACGTCATGGCCTGGTATATGGACTCAATGCCATAGCGCATGGCGAATTCATCCACCACTTCCTGCTGCACCTCATCAAAGTAAACCTTCCACGCATCATCTCCCTGAGCCACTGGAATCTTCACCACGCCGCCTCCCTCTACATCAGTCGAGAAGTGGAATGTGTTCTACAAAGAAAAATGTTGAGTGAACAAGGAAACATCAGCAGTGCTCAAAGAAGTAAATACCAGCCACTGGATTATATACTGGTTATTCACAGGAACATCCAGCATACAAAAGTGACCTGAGATGCTTTTTCTTGCCAATTGAGAAACTGTCCACATCTGATAACTTTGCTAATTTTCTTTTGTGCATATATAACCATTCAGGATATGTCTGTTCATGTTAGCAGAAAAAAATGACAAAACTGAAAAGGCTTTAAATCAAAAATCAGATCTGCGTCTCTGATCCAAAAAACAGATTGATTTGATTTCACTTCCTTGAATTTAGTGCTTAAACGACTCTTCAATTAATAGATTAGTCTACTGTATCTGCAGAAAACAAATCAACAACAATTTTGATTACAAATCAGTTTGATTCAATGTCATTTATCAAGCAAAAATGCAGGCCAGTGTTTGTGTGTGTGTGTGTATATGTGTTACCTCATGTAAGCACGTGTACTGTACATGGTAGGGTGCCACCTTCTCCTCTCCCTCGATCTCCACACTAATCTGTAGTCGAATGGCACCAGACACCGCCGACTTGTCTGTTCTCTTTTCTGTAACACACACACTCACAAGTTAAACTTCGGATCTAAGACCACAACTAAAACACTGAGCATTTCAATTGCTGTGCTAATAAGCTAACCCACAGGCATAAATACTAATTACAAAAATCACAGAAAATATAATCATACACCTTGTGTCCCATATTCCTGTGGTTCTGAGTGACTACGTACCCAGGTTGTACCAGACATCCATCTCTCCGCTCAGAGTTCGAACCTCGATGATGCTCTGACCCAAGAAGTCATCAGATTCCCTCTTCAGACGCTGCTTCACTCGCGACTTGATGTCATCGTCTTCATCCCAAACCCGCAGCTTGATCCGATCCGATGAGTTGTGGCACTCGCTGTGGTGACAGGTAAAAGGTGGGTGGGGTATTATTTTAACAAATGTGTGAGTGATTGAGCAAACGGGTAAGGTGGAGGGTATGCATGCCTGGAGCAAATTAATATTTGTTCAAAAATATTATCAAACTATGAGTCTTATTATCATTCTGAGTTTACTATCCAGCAAGCATTGATTTGTTGATTTGCAAGGATTTCAATAACTATATTTAATTGCAAAGCAAGTCCTCACTACATGATGAAATATATATTTTTTAAAATGCTGTTGAAATAACTTTTCACACACTGATTTTCACCAGGCAATATTTGACCATTTTGACAAAATGTGCATACATCTTTTGTCCTGGAAATCATCAAACCAATAAAGTGACAGAATCACTAATTAAAACGTTGAATCTACACACTGACCAAGCCGACACATGTTGAACATATAAGCCACATTCTTATGTGTGAATGCATCATACATGACCTGTAATTAGTTTTACATGTAGCGTGATCTGATCTAGTCTCCATGTATTTCCTTTCTGATTGTTTCTCTTGTTCCCTTTTTCAGAACATGAAACAATAAACGTCACATCCCCTGTGTAGGTTTACCATGTGTGTATAAAAGAGTCTAAAAGATCTTAGACCTTCCTCTACCAATGCAACGTGATCGTAACAGTGACCCTGTTTTCCTGCACTTTGCCAGACCTCTAAGAGCTCCACCTGAGCTTTACAAACAGGAAGAAAATAACAAGCTGAGCTTACAAGCTGAACTTTTCCTCCCAGACTGGGTTCAGGTTGCCGTAGATGGTTTTTGTTCTCTTCTTGGTCTTCCCAACTTGGATCGTGACATATGGGTCACTTGAGCCCGTCCTGTCCTTGGCCTGGAGACCCTGTGCACTGACGACTGATAACACACACACACACGCACACACAAACAGAGAATGAGTATGAAAATTGCATAATAACAACAAACACCTACCTGTTACCATCATCCTTCTGTCTCATTCACACACACACACACACACACACACACACACACACACACACACACACAAAACACAAGATATCACCCACACAGTTATGCTAACACAACATTCATGACTCACAGGCAGATGTTGGGTAACAATATTTCTCATCAAATTACTTGTTTTGCTGTTCTGTGTAACAAGTAGTCAAATAGGTATTTTAAAAAGACTTGGCCCGGCTTTCAAGGGAAAACAGTCCTCACAGACAGAAAGTTCAGTTTGAAAGTAAACAGTGTGCTTGGTTGAATTTCATATTGAATTATTGCAGTTTGTATTCTGCATATCGTTTCTTCACCACAAGATAACAAAGCAACAAATGAAATAATAAGCCATTTCTGCGACACTTTGGCTGAAACGGCATCAACACAGTAAATGCGTTTGCCTTGAAGACCGTCTGTCTGGCTTCACTTGTATCCAAGTTACAGAAAACTGTTTTGATAGATGGAGATTAAAGGCTTATGAAAGGAGTCTGGGGATATTTATTTGAGATGGAAGGTCACCAGGTACCAAGGAGGATGTTTAAATGAAGGAAGGTTGACGAGTGTCAAAATGTGCATCGGCTCGCTCAGAAAAAAATACTTTGTTGATCAGGAATTGTAGAGAGAGAATAAATGCATATCCCAAAAGGTTGAACTATTTCTTTAAAATGGGGATGTACTGATCAAACTTCTTTCTGTACGGATGCCATTTCCTGATTAATACCAGTGCAAAATCTGTGTTCCACACTATGAGTGTTCAAATAAGGAAACAGGAGGTCAGCGACTGAGTCAGCAGTCCACTGAAATGAAATACCAAATTCTATGATGACACTAAAAAAGAAACTGTATATCACCACGATTAGTTAGTTATGGCCAGTATCTGATCTGCTCAGTATGGGCCCAGCACCAATCCAGCATCAGATCAGTGCATCCCCAGCTTCAAATGTGCTAAAGAAAAGGACATTGCACATATTTACATACATATTAATGTACTTACTAAATGTACTGACAGATGAAAGACTAGATATTTTCATAATTTAGAAATCACAGCAGCCCATTTTTCAACTTCTTGAATTCTTCCACAAGTCCTGTACAATTAAAAGTCTGCATCACACCAATCCATATCAGTCTCTGTAAAATCTTTGCTAGCGGTTCATTCAGTGTCGGGGACAGATGCAGGTTATCAGTGCTAAAGGGAGTTTTGAATATTAATTGGTTGAGATATTCCCTAATGAAATTAATAGATTCTTCAAAGACCTCTCTTTAGAGCATTTCCTGTCAGTCCACCGTCAAGTTCAATCACAACTTGGCTTATATACAAAACTGAGTTGAAGTGGGTCTGAGTGTATTGTAGATGATTGATGACATGATTGATTTATGCAAAACCGAAACTAAAAATATGCAAATTTCTATCAACTTGAATGATTTATAGAAGCCTTTAAAAGAATGGTCTTTAAGGCTTTCCTCCACTGTGTTTGAGGGAACAATATTGACTAAAGCTGTACAGACAAGCAGGACATTTGCACAATATCAGGGCTTCATCTCATTTATCACAGCACAGAGAACAGTTGAAGGCAGCCACATTGGAGGAGAGACAACTTCACAAATGTTCTCTACCAAACCTTTATTACACAATACACACACACACACACACAATCTGGCCACTTTATTAGGTACACCTTGCCAGGACTGGGTTGGACCCCCTTTTGCCTTCAGAACTGCCTTAATTCTTTGTTGCATACTTTCAACAAGGTGTTGGAAACATTCCTCAGAGACTTTGGTCCATATTGACATGATAGCATCACGCAGTTGCTGCAGATTTGTAAGCTTCACATCCATGATACCAATCTCCCGTTTGACCACATTCCAAAGGTGCTCTTTTGACAGTGATTGTGGAGGCCATTGGAGTACAGTGAAGTCATTGTCATGTTCAAGAAACCAGAAGATGGGTACACTGTGTCCATAAAGGAATGGACATGGTCAGCAACAACACTCAGGAAGGATTTCAAGTTCAAACGATTCCAAATTCTGACCCTACCATCTGAATGTCGCAGCTGAAATCAAGACTCATCAGACCGGGCAACAGAGCCTGTGCGAATTGTAGTCTCAGTTTCCTGTTCTTAGCTGACAGGAGTGGCACCCGGTGTGGTCTTCTGCTGCTGTAGCCCCGTCAGAGATGGTATTCTGCATACCTTGGTTGTAACGAGTGGTTATTTGAGTCACTGTTGCCTTTCTGTGATCTCAAACCAGTCAGTCCAACTGCCGCTCACTGGATATTGTCTCTTTTTCCCGACCGTTCTCTGTAAACCCCGGTGATGGTTGCGCTTGAAACTCCCAGTAGATCAGCAGTTTCTGAAATACTCAGACCAGCCCGTCTGGCACCAACAACCATGCCACATTCAAAAAGTCTTAAATCCCCTTTCCAACCCATTTTCATGCTCAGTTGGAACTTTAGCAACTTGTCTTGACCACGTCTACATGCATAAATGCATTGAGTTGCTGCCATCTGATAGGCTGATAATTCATAGAGTCTGTGGTTTGACCTTGATCAGCAGAAAAGTGAGTGACGACTATTAACACCTGAACATGAATGAATTTCAACAAAAAGCCGGCTGATGGCCCGTCCCTGTATCTCCTCTAAAATGGAGCTTTTCACTGGTGATAGGGAAGACAAGGTGTGACAGCTGCCATGGCAACACTGCTGCCACTATATGGTGTGATGTGTCTGGTTGCTTTGGTAACAGCAGCAGTCTTGATGATGTTTGGCAAAATTAGGAGAAGGAAGATAGGGACGCATGTCTGTTCAAATAAGTGAAGCTTGCACATAAACAGCTGAGTTTCTCCACAGTTCAGGGTGTCAGATAAAAGAAGAAACTTTCATAAATGTGGAATAGTTCTTTTTTTAGGTATTCACCTGGGGAGACATGACACGCTCTGGTTCAGCAACACACTTCACATTCACAGAGCTGCAGGTTTTCACAGACGTCACTGCTGTGTTCTTCAGGTTGATGACTTTTATCAACCAATCTTTTTTACACCTTCTATTGATTTGAATGTTTCTAACTATCTACCACTGTCATACAATTTTATGTACCTGAAAATGTGTTTTGAGGCCTGTTTTGTTGACATCTCAACCTCTGATTTCTTTTGGAACTATCTAAGTAAGAATTTATCAACTGTTGTGAAATATTTAGTGATGAGTGATTGGTTTAACTTATTAACATATTAATTTATACAAAAAAAATGAAAGTGTGAGCAGGGTGAGCAAAGTCGCTGAAGCTAATGTTGAGAATAAAAACCTATGTAACCTCGTTGGGCACACAAATGCTCAGTATCCTATAGCTACAAGCCTTGTGGACACTGTTTAGAACGAGTAGGGTCATTAGTTAGAGACTAGAGACTAGAGAGGAGAGCGATATAGAAAAAAGACAAAGTAAAAGACAGGTGGGATAAGCATTCCTGTAATCAAAAAATATTTACTCTAATTCAAAACTAATTGATTTTAATAATAAATCAAAAATTCATTGGACATACTGTTGATGGTGATCTTGGCTGACCACTTGGAGGTGCCGTCCAGAACGCTCTGCTTGATGCTCTTCATGTGCTGGACGTGGCTCATCTTGGTGACGTTGAACACCTTCCGGATCTCCTCAAATATTTCTGGCTTGTTCCTCTCACGGATCTTCATCCTGTCCTTCATAGCCATGATGATGTGCTGTGTCCGATCCTCCGCCCCAGTTTTGGAGCTTTTCTCAGCCGCTCCTAAAGACAGCAAGGTGGGAGGACAGCAGAAGAGCAGGGTGGATGATGGGGGAAATGTGAAAAAACTAGAACTAGAAACAACATTTTCTAATTAATGCTAAAAGATCGACCACATGTATTTCCTTTTATGTTTATCAGCATGGTATTTTCATAGCCCCCTCAGGTTTTCTGGCATAATCGCTCATAATAAAAAGAAAAGTAATAATTTCTTTTGGTCTGAGGTCACATCAAAAATATGGGACATTTGGGTTCATTTTTTTAAAAGTTTCAATTTTGAGGTAGTTTAATATCTTTACTCACTCTGCAGGCAGTCAGCATTCAGTAGCTCTTGACATTTCTCATGCACTTTGACCCCGCACTCCGCACAACGCATACCCTGCCGGGCAATGCCCCACAGAAGGCCCTCGCACTCGTAGCAGTAGGTGGGTGTGGTGGCCGTCCAGACCTCAAAATTGTGTGGCGTGGTGCAGGAGATTGGGTAGATCAGAGCCTGCAGGGTCTTCTTGTACACATGGTTTTTCTGTTAGTGCAAAAAAAGAAAGGAAGATGTATGTAGGCAGGGTGAGGTAGAAGTACAGGGTGTAAGAAAAGAAGCAGGATAAGAGAAAAGTTCATTGGAGATTGTTTAAGAAGTTCTCCAAGGGAGTAAGTAAAGAGAAAGAAGAGACAACAGGATAACGAGCGACAAAAGAAGGTTGGGATGAAGTGTGAAAAGGGCATGACAAAGGACATCAAGGTGAATGACACAAATATAACCAGCACAGAGAAAGGGTTGGCAGGTGACACAAGAGATCGGTGGAGCAAAATATAGAAACAATAATGAGAAAAAAATAATGGAAAGGGAACTAATAAGTTACTAAATATAAGGTATAATCTGTATCTGTAACTGTTGGAAAAATTCATAAAAGGCTAATTTCAAGGTGACTACAGCTAAAGTTATATAGAAATGTGGGTATGTACGACAGGGCTAATTTGTGTTTTATAATTCTTGGCTTCTTTAATAATGAAATAAATTCTGCTTTTGTACAGTGTAGGAGGAGTGTGGGAGGAGGTGAACATATCTACACAGAATAAGAGGACACCTTGACTAGAAGCCCAGCTTGATTTGGTAAACACAGAATTTCTATACGGGGTATGTGAGTCATTATTATCATGCTTAATGTTATTATTATTATCATTATTATTATAGTAGAAATTGTGATATAGTGGTATGAATAGTAGGGAACATTGTTTTATATAAATTAATCAATTTCTTCTTTTTGGTGGGTATCCTCTCTGTCTCTGGTTTCACTCAATCTTGTTCCAACTGCTTTGAGTTTTATTGAACTGAACTGTGTTGTTTCAATCGTTTGTGCCTTTTGACTACATGTATACATGTTTGTGTACATGTGTTTGTTTTCACATTTGAAGTAAGTATGTAAATGACAGAATCAGAATTAGTATAAATATATACACTTGTGTACATTAATACACAATCAAACATAAAAGTCTTGCATTAAACACCAGGACCAGATTAACCTGAAAGCCTTGCACCTGCACCAAGTAAGCAAAATATCAACAGAAATATTCAAAGATTTTGACACAGAGCCCCTCCCCAGACAATGCACCACTTAGATTTGGTTCAAATGCAGAAGTTGCCGTAATTCTATTTCAATTCAGATTACCACAAACTAATCACCTCACAATGAATCTGAGGGTTTTGTGCACTGCGACATTTGTCCACTTCCAGCCTTGATGAATATAACTTTTCTGACCTGTTGTTGACATTACCTTTTAACAACATTTTTGCTCATCTATATGTACAGTATGTAAAAAAAGTGGACAAATATTAGTAACACCTTAAATATAATGTAGTCTACAGCACTACAAACCATGGCCTGCAAACATACCACAGAGCTGAGTCAACACAAAACACACCTAAAGCTGTAAATTAAAAGAACAAACGTGGTTGTTTTTTTTAACAACACGTTGAGCTGTAGAAGGTGTTTCTGTTTTTCTGGTGAGTTACTCTATGATATGCACCTGATAATCCTCCTGTCTATCTGATAATGTGTAACGCTAACCATGCACACTTTCTGCAAATCCTCTGCCCAGCCCATGTTGTTCATGTTTGACCTGCATTTGATCTAAAAACCACAAATAGAGAACTCTGTTAAACTGTACATTTAAAAAAAAATAAAGATGCACTTGATTTAGTGTAATTGCACCATATAAATTATAATATTTTAAAATTGGCAGTTGCTTTGTTTTCCACAGAACTATTTTCTGCTCCATTCACTGACCTACTTAATCCACTTATTATATTGACACAGTGCAGTAGAAAAGGCACAAAACAAACTATAATAAACAATACTGAAACCTCATCCAGTCAGGGAGGCCTTGCTGCTCCTGCCTCCATTAAGTCCTGACGCTGCTTAACGTTGACTCAGCAAATTCAGAGTAGGAAATTGGATTGTCAACAAACGAATTAACAATATGGCTACAGCAGAATGACAGCAGGAGTACAGTTGGCAAGAAAAGTGTGAAAAAGTGAGTGTAAGTGTTTGTCTGTAAATATAAGTTGAGGTTTGTGTGGATCCCTATTAGCTGGCATCGAGGTGACAGCAAGTCTTCCTGTAGATAACTATAAAATCATAGATTCAGTATATATTTGTGTGTGCGTGTGTGGCATATGTATTTGGCAACTCACAAGCTCTTCGTCTTTCAGGGAGGTCCGAGTGGCCAGTGTGTGGGCGAGTCCAGCTTTCCTGGACTGTATCATAGACTGAATATAAGAGAGAGAGAAAAAACAGTGCTAAGCAGCTATAGAGACAAAAAAACACAACGGGAGAAAAGAAAAAGCCAAAGAGAACTTTCAGTAAAAAATTCAGAAAATCAATTCTCTGTGTGATGTTGGGCTCTTTCTGCTTTGAAGGTCGTGGAAAATGGGTATCGCAAAAACAAAGCACACATTTGTTCTCCTTCTCTCTGTAAACTTGGAAACACGTCACTGATCTTTTCTTTAGTTTTTGTGGCTCTGCCACAGGTCTGGATAGACTTTCAAGTATAATAGACACTTTAAAATTTAATTTTGAATTAAGCCTAACTAAAGCGCAACTGATGTAAAGAAATAGTTCGCCATTTTGAAAAATATACTTACCTAGCTCTTGACCAGAAAGCGAATAAGAGTATTTCCCAAAAGGCAAACTACTACTTTATAATAAAAAAACTTTATAACTTTACAATTTAGCCTTTGTTACAGTTTTCCTTTAGCAGATTATTTTGTATTGTGCTCTATAATGTTTTGTATAGTATCTGTGGATCTGTGTATGTGTAGAGGAGTGTCGATGTAGATGTGCTGCAGGAGGATGATTTGGACCGGTTCTGAACAGCCTTTCTTCAACTCCAGCAAAAACAAAATACTTCAAATGCAGTTTTCATCCTACAGCAGCACTTTAAAGCTGTGAAACACCTGAGAAATGTCCTTGAAATAGATGAACAGCTTCTTTTTTTTACCCACAGTGCTTCTGCTCATCACTGGTGCATACTGTCAGTTATCATTACGTTAAACTGATTACTGCCATTTATTTGCTAAAGTGCTCTGTGATTCATCAGCTTACCACATATCTCTTCACTTCAAGAAATAGTATTTTAATAAGGTGTTTTTTATAGAAGGAGGAAGGGACTGAACAAGGATAACACAATGAAGTCTAAGACTTGTTTCCATAGAGATCCTTGATGTAGAGATAGCACATCTGCAGGTGTCCAGGTGACTACTGCATTATGCAGTATGCGAACATGACCACACAGATTATAAAACATATTACAAACCTTAGTGCTTAGTGAAGTGCTTAATCTCTCCAGCTAATGCTCAACAGCAATAGACTTTTCTAATATTATTTTTGTAATGCTGAGACTTCTAGAGCTCTAGAAATTTTAATACCTCAGCAGTGAGATTCTCTTCATCATTCCTGAAAGTTACAAGACCACAGAAGAAAACATGCTATCGCCTGACAACAGAAGTCAAGGTACAGTAGCTGGAATGTGCCCAGCAGGGATCTGAAACATGTGTTGCTTTTCTGAAGGGTTGTCCAGCATGTGGTCATATAGCAAAGACTGGCAACAATGGGCCGTTGAGCTTTGAATTAGAGAAGCATAAATCATTGGAGGTGAAAAGAGAGTCTAATACTCACAGGAGCAGAAGAAAACACTGTTCTAAATTCATATGCTCGCCACAAATGCGCTGACCAATCTAACGTGTGGAACAATAACATGTCTAAAAAAGGAGCAAACTCAGGAAACATACAAACTGTCAACTTGACCAAACTTATCTATCTAGATTTTTTTTTGTTTATTTGTAGTTTGTTGCTTTTGTAACATCTCCTTTGTGCTAAAACTTTTTTTTAATATACTTTTATATTTGCACTATTTTGTCTTCGCTAATCTCTCTCACTGTTCTTTCTCTTCGTGATTTGTGTAAGTTAATATACTAAACTTAATGACATTGGACTAGATTGTCCCAAAGCCTTTACATCACTTCAAACCTCACGGGTGCTTTTTCGCTCAGACTGCTGTTGAGAGCTTGACCTTCACTCTAGAGGATCCACTTCAAATCAAAGGAGACAAGTTTCTTTTATCAGATGAGTCAAGTTTCTTAGATCTCAGTGACTGAATATTCACAGCTCTAACCCCTTGGATCCATCTCAGCCTCCCTAAAGTACTTCAAAGCAAATATGAAACTAAAGGGAAAAAGACACATATGCACTATAGCATTTATCAGCATTTACTCAGTTAGAGAGGGGCAGGTGTGTTATTTGTTGACTTACTTAGTCACAGCAAAATAAACCTGTAAATTAAAGGACTTCAAGCTAAAAAAAACAATTAGAGAAAAACCCTCTCACTCTCTAAGCATCAATCGGCTGAGGGCAAGCTGAAAGCATTCACAAGAAGGAATTGATTTGTCTTGTGTTTGTCAGAACGTTATGAAATAGAGGTGAACAAAGAACAACTTGTATGAGTGTGTGGTTGTGCATATATGTGTACATGCTCATTAGAAATTTCTTAAAATCACATTAGAAAACTTCACACAGAGCAGATCATAATGCTTTGCTACAATCAGGATCATTAGAGAGTTTGAAACAAAGCCCATCAAACAAATGATGAAAGATAGCATCTGAAATCTAAGTTCTCTCTTACTCACCATAGCCTGAGGGCCGACAAAGGTAGAGAGACAACATGTGCAAGGGAAGAGAACAAGAAGAAAGAAAAGGTTAGAGACAATCACACATGTTCCCTACGGAGAGCAGCTTTATCCTTGAATCCAGCTATTCAGTGTGTGCAAAAATCTAATCTAAATCTAACAGCTAGTGCCACTGCAGAAGTGCTCTTTCATACATTTGTCCTGCATGTAGTGTGCAAGTAATCATTCCTGATGGATTACATAAGCTGATTGTAACATGGTAACCTCTGATGTCACTCACTCCAACTTGTTGACTTTTCTTTGCTACTTCCAATGCTGAAGCAAAAACTAACAGGCCATTACAGCTGAAATCAATAACCAATGTTGAGCATCTGGTGCGCAGCAGTTGCAAAGAAAAACAAAAACTAACAGGGTACATCAGGCAAACAGGCAATCCAGTGGCATAGGAAATCAACCCCATGTACATCTTTGTTACTGATAAATAAAGCAATAAGTTTGATGATCATTATAAGTTATATCAGTGTTTACACTCCACATCTCAACTGTGCATGTCGTTCATTCTGTATACCAGTGTCACATGACTCCATTTACGTAGATAAATGTACATCTACTTTTAAATCTAATTCTAAAATTATCTTTACGATAGGGTTTTATTGTATTGATACAATATTCTATCCTTGCTTGTACTATCGACCAATGTTTTGAATTTAGTAAACGTCCAAATTCAAATGCTGCTTATTATTTATCAATAATAATAATAACAACAACAACAATAAAAAAAACCTTCTGTTTAGTTTCGAGTCTGTTTAGTTTTGAAAAAAGCCAAGGTTCAGTGAAGGTCAGAAGTAGATCAGGAGGCAGATAATGAGCGATGTGTACTCACCAGTTCACTAACAAGAGGAATGGGCCTCCTTTTGCGGAGGTCTGGCATGCTGTCAATGCCAAACGGTGTGTTTCCCCTGTATACACACAAACAATCAAATAAAAGCCAAAATGCACTAAAGAAAATCCAGGTGCAAACACTGCAACAAGTAATGATATTCTCTCGCTCACGCAAACACCAAAAAGTGCTTACTGACCCTGGCTTGGCCCATGGGTGCTTGCTAGGGTCACCATCTTGATCTCGACTCTGAAACAGAATGCCATAGGTCACACATTTAGCCATTTGAAGGCTGACAGCCTTTGTTGATTTAATTACATTGGAGCATGCACATGCATGAGCACTAGAGAAACAACAAAGTGAGGAGATAAAACAGGAGAGAAGGACTGGGACTGAGCTGGGTTGGTTGAGTTTCAGCATTGCATGCCAAAGAGGACATTTCAATCAATCATATTGTCCCCCTTTCATATATGTGCATCATAAATCTGGTTTCACCTTGTAAAGCAAACACCTACCAAAGCACACATGTTCCCTGTAAACACACACTGACTTTTTCTTCCTAACACTCTGTCTGACAGCTAGTAAAGAAAAAAAACATCATCAAAACATTCCAACACGGTAGCCTGAAAGACTCAACAGCTATATTATTTTTCATCAATATTGTGTCCTAATAAATACTGACCTATTCCTATATGGCATTTTTATATTCATGACTGAAACAACAAATGTTCTTAATAGGGTACAGAAGCATTCAGGCTGACATCTCGTAAATGCTAAAACCATTTCACTGGTATTTTTCACTGAAGCGAAATAAACACAATAAAAAGGAAAATAAAATAAAATAAAATAAAGAAAGACACTGACATGAGAAAATGTCAAAAGAACATAAAGAAATATGTACAGACAAAGAACAACTTATTTTAGGATATTAATGTTAATAATGTTAACAGAGAGAAGCCACAAAAGAGGTAACCTGATTTCCATCTTGACTTCCATCTGTAAAACAGCATAAGAGAAAAACGAAACAGAAAAGAAACAGTCATGGACTAGTTTGACCAATCATGTGAAACAACAAGACATGCACTGGATTATTCATTTTGTTATAAATGCTTGGGTAATGTTAAAAGCAGCACTGCCACAGAGTTTTCAGATAGAAGGGGGTCTGAGGTCATAAATGTTTCATTAACATGTATAATTTATCATGAAAATGACTCTTAATAGTTCCCTTCTCCTTCCTCTTTAATGTCAGGCTCGCTTTCCAAGGAGATAATTAATGTTTTCTAATTCAGCAAATGGCCACTGCTGGTGCCTTGGAGAGGAGTAAGGGACTTGTGAATGACAGATGATACATTACCCTGAAGGGAGTATAAAATTATAGCATCAGCAGAGACTGTTTGATACAGTAAATACCCAAGGGACCTTTTAGTATAGGGGCTTATTCATAAGTGCTGGGTGAACACACGCAAAGAGGATACCAGCAGTTATCCTTTTATTAATGTACATATTGCTCTGCGACTAGACACATCAAACAGTTTTGGCTACACAGAGAGGGTTTGATGATAGAAAGGTAGGATGGAAAAGTATTATTTTTTAAGCAAATAAACCAATACTTTTATGATCACTAAACCTTATGAAACATTAGTTTCAAAGTAAAATAATGAAAATAAATGAGTCGCTCAAATGTATTGAAATTCAAAAAATACTAATACTCTTTACCCTGAGGGATGTTTAAAGCATAAAAGTGGGACAGACAAAAAAAAAAACAAGATGTACTGTAAATGTACCTATCTTTGGCTCAAAATTAATGAATGACTCGTTTACTGAAAACAAAAAAAAGATGATTCCTACTTAAAATCCAGTGGTGACTACCTGGTTCAAAGCCATCCTGAGAGAAGGTGGACATGGTCATACTGGCAAGGTTGCGCCTGGTCTCCCTCTTCTCTCGCAGAATCTGCTGGAAGCTCCTCAGACACTTCAGCCTGCGTTCATCCATCTGGCTTATCTCTACGGGTGGCAGCTCTGCATCTCCTTCTGCTTTGCCCTCTGGGGCCACAATGTCTGTGTTGGGTTGCAGTGGCACTTCCTGTTCTCCCTGCTCCTCCGGTGCTGTAGGTTCATCAGCCATGAGGGAGGCCGAGAGGGATTCTGCAGTGGTGCATTGCGAGAGCTGGGCTTTAACGGTCAGATCTGCAGGACCTTCTGCAGGTTGTTCTGTAAGGCCATCAGGTAAAGGTGGTATTGCAGTGCTACTGGAAACTGGGTCAGGGCAGACTGAAAGTTCTTCTGGGCATGGATGGATCTTGTCTGAACAAGTAGGATGTTGGTATGTGTTTGTAGACTCCAACATAAGGCTGTTGTTGGCTTCTTCAAGCATAGGCTCCATAGAGAAAACATCTAATTTGTCTAGAGTATTGTTTTTTCTCGATTCCCCAACAACATTGTCCACCAAATCACCTTTCTGGGTATTGTCAGATCTTTGTTCAAACTGTGCCTCATAGCATAAAGGTTTTGAAGGCAACTCATCTGTAAGCAGGTCAGAAGGCATTGATATTTCATAGTCTGTTTCCTCTCCAGGATTCTGGGCTCCAGGTACTTCCAGTTTGCGCAACGCTCCCCGCAAGGCAGAACTAAAATCAAGTACAGCTTTGCCTATGCGTTTCACGTTGAAACTACCAGCTTGGACATCTGCACTGCCAGGGTGAGGGAGCTGGTTTTCTAAGCTTTGGTTAGTGGCTTCGGTCTCTTGGATGAATGACCTATCCACATCAGCTACAGTGGTACACAAGGATGCCTCAGTCCATGTCACTGGAGATGACTCTCCATAGGCTAAATAAGTTTCGTGATAACTATCAACTTGACAGCCTGTTGTGTAGCTCAGGTCATTTAGTTGCCTATAGTCAAATTCTTCTGCTTCTCCATCATGCCCATCAACTGAATGGTAACCAGAACTTTGAGGGTAGGAAAAATCTGCCGCACACTCATATCCTACAGTGGGGTTTTCAAAGTTGGTATCCGTTGGAACATGAATCCCAGACGGGGTTTGAGGCCTTCTTCTCCGCATCTGCCACTCCTCCCTGCTAGAAGTGCTGGCAGGTGAGTTGTAATGTTTCCCAGAGCGAATAGAGAGATGTTCTGAGCTTCCTGTGGAGCAATGCCCTGATGTACCATATCCTCCTGCACCTCTGTAGTGATCCCAGCTACCAGCTCCTTCACAGCAAAGAGGGCCCTCACCTTCATGGGCATCTAGACTTCCATCCCTGAGGTAAGCAGTTTCCCTATGCCACACAGATTTCCCAGCAGCACTGTGTGGTTGTCCAGTGTTAGTCCAGTGTTCCTCCCCATCATCAGCTCTTTGCTGCTTCCTTCCATGACTACATGATGGTCTCTCTAGGTCTGACTCAGACTTGGAACTATGACCAGAAGACAAGGAGCTGGTGCTTGGACAGTCTTGGCCATCCTGCCTTTCAAGGTAGCCAAAGCTGAGCTTTCTTGCTATGGCACCTACTGGGATATCTGAGCTATGGTCAGAGGTATCCTCTTGTTCCTCCAGGTCCTGATGATCCACCGATTCAGCAATTGGGGACACAGTGGACTCGTCTGCCATTGGCAGCAGTAATTCTCCATGGATGCTATGACGCTCATTGCAGACTTGGGGGAAAATATTTGAATGGGACTTTGGCATTGCACTCCCTAAACTGCCATAGGCACTAGCGGGCCTTCTGCGGGGGGGTGGTCCATCTTTGCACCCTACCCCCGACCACGTACCTGCATGTACGCCTGAACCAGCCTTGTTGCTAGAACGAATGCCCTCAATCTCTAACAATACAGCATCTACACAGGATGATACTTCCTCCACTGAACCTCGAACTGAGGTCAGGTAATCCCTGAGGTCGGAAATTTCCTCCTGGATCTTGTTGATACCCCTCAGCTCTTTTAGAATGTGCTCAATGACGGCACTTGACTCCTCCTCTTTATCTTCGTCTTCTTCCAGCAGTGTACTTGGGAGAGCTCTGCTGAAGTTGTAGTCCACACAATCACCAGTAGAATATGGTCTCTTTGGCCGAATACGGGGTGAAGGAAAATTCCTTCCAGCTGCTCCTGCAAATTTAGTACCATTCATGTCTGGGCCAATAGGACTGTAGCGTGGGGGTGTTCGCACCTGCTCAGGGCATGTCCGAATTTCTCCCTCAAAAGAGATTCGTTTCAGATTGGCTGGAGATCTGCAGCTTTTATGCTGCAAAGTACAGGGTATTCTAATACAGCCCTCTCTGTTCAGCTCCACTTCTCCTACACATGGTGGCCCCGGTGGTACTCCATGTCCTTTACCGTTTGACACTTTTGGAGAGTAGGCTTCAGCCCTGGGGCTACCCTTTGGATATACGCTTCTGTGTCCCTTTCTGCCCTCCTGTGTTTCCCCCTCCTCCTCCTCAATACCTGCATAATAGAGGTGGGAATCTGGGACATGGTGGTCTGAAGATCCTTGCAAGAGACGATGTATTTTACCCCGAATGACCAGTGCTACCCTAGGGTTTGGAGCCCTCTTTTTGGGTGAATGGACTTTTGCCTTGGTGCCTCCTTTAGGGGTAACGCCTGCTCCATGTTGTCCATTGAAGCGATTCCTGGAGAACATATTCCCAAGAGAGCAGACTGTCCTCATCTAGTTCCCCACATTGTTTGTGGGAGTTACAATGAAAATGCCCCTGGTATCATAGTTCATTAATCAAGCCTGTTGGAAGTTTATTCAGCCGAACCACTCAATGTAAGTGGTCCATGACTAAAATGTAAAGACAAAGACAAAATACTTTATTACACATTAAAAACACTGTAACAATCAAGTAAATTGAAAACTGGGGAAAAGAATAAGACATTTGAGTAATATGTTATTCTTTCTAAAATGAAGATAAACATTTTTACCATCATCAAAGAAACAGTACTAACCTGCTCAGATCTAGTGAGCAGTGTAGTGTGCACTCATTCATGCAAAATATACAACACAAAAGTGAAGTACTGCTTTCCCAAACACATTTCCTCTCCTTGCACAGAAAGAAGTGACATACTGTATAATGTGAAAATATGATCTTATGATATGATAGATGTTGTTATCCATATTAAAAAAAGGGACATTTAAATCATGTCCTCACTATACTGGAATTATTGTAAATATAATTATAATTCAGGTGAGATCAACCTTTCAGAACACACTGACCATGTCAGAACAGACTGACCACAGCAGTTGAATTGCTAAATGA